TTTCGCGATCACCTTCGTCATCCCCACCGACGGCCCATCTTCCAAGGCCCAAAACACCAAATGCAATCATCAAGTCATGGTGGTGGGCATCCTCACGATCCAACGTCATCTAATTAAGAGTGCTATTCGGATACAATCCCGATCCTGAACCCTTGTAAACATCGCGTAGAGCATTGTAGCCAAACGCAGCTATGCAATAAAATTGATCGGCCGAACAAACAGGAAAGGGGCATTCCTCTGTTTCTCTTGTGGTGAGGTTACACACGTGGAACATGTGAGGTCTGGCCAGACACAGCAGTCCATTGCAGGTTCCAATAACCCCGAACAAGCCGCTAAGATTGTATTTGAGGGCGCGATCATGGACATCAAACAACACTTTGTCTTCCATAATACGGATAGGGCAGGAAAAGACGAAAGGAGGATTCACATTGTCGGTGCTTAAGCACTGCACCAGTGTTCTCTCCTTTGGGTGATCTTTGAAGATGCAGTTTCACAAACCATGGGTCGGTTATCAATGATTCAAACCATTTGCTGAAACATTTAAATCGCATAAGCGATTTCACTGGAAGCCATGACAGAATTTCCGTTATTCCGTCGTAATAATATGAATGACTCATGTTTTCGTATGTGGTTTTTTTTTTTGCACAATAAATTTCCCCACGTCTGTGTCATCTCTAGATCTACGAAGAGGACCAACATCGTTGCCTCAGAACCAAATTGAGAGCCACCGTGAGAAGCCAACAGTTGTGCCGTATCCGGATAATGCCACACGCGGAACAGAGAATTGGGTTTAAGAAACCCGGATTCTCAATTTTAGGGTTACGTAAATTAATCTAAATTCTTAAATATTTCCTAAGATAAACATGACTCAAGTATGAGAGGCTCTGATACCAATTGTTAGGTTAAACTGTAATTGAATATGATCTTCATTCTAATGATCAAACACATATATAATCCCATACTGTAAACATGTTATAAACTAAATGCGAAAGCGTACCTGAATTGGCCATAATGACGATATCCTTTGTAGAGCACTTTTGATTTGATCTTATGGTCTTCCACCTAAAGAGCACCTGTATTTTCCTCTTGATTTTCTCTCTTGATGGGGATAGAAAGAAAAGAACGAGACTGTAACTACGTTCTGTCTGTGTGCTCTCAGAAGGAGACCATGACCCTTTAAATAACCAAAATTAGGTTAATTACTTAAGTTTTAGTATTTTCTATTTGGCCCCTCATCAAATTAGAAATTACTCTATGGTCTCTACACAATCATATTTTCATGACATATGTCTTTAGCCAAAACTTTAATTTATTTAGATCACTTTATTATTTGGCTTAATAAATAATGACCCTAACACATTTAAATATGTATCATATATATACATGACCAAAAATTTGTCAACATTTCAGACATAAAAATTAACTCCAACGATATTATTATAATAGATATAAGAATGTGACATTTTTATTCTTAAAACAGGACATTAATACTCGCTTCACTCATATATACCTTAATTTATATATATCATATTTTCTCTACTAAGACATTTTTTAAAAATAAAATTGTGATGGAAATTTTTTTTTTTTTATGAATGATCTTAATAATTTTATAATAATAGACTGAGGTGGAAACATTTTTTTTTTTAAACGGAATATAATACTTGCACTTTTATCCACTGATACACTTTTACCCTTGATGTAATCAGGTTTAAATACACATTGAATAGACTTCAGACTGCACACAACAATTGTTGAACAAACTAACTAACTAAAATCACGTAAAGTTAAAATTTGGTCATACATTAAGGGGTATCACTTTATTTCATTATACATATATACATATACAAATCTAGCCGTTAAAAGAAAAAATAAGTGCCAAATTTGAGAGGATAATATAACTTTGTTAAATTTTTTATTTGAATAATTTATTTGAAGTAGTTAATAACTAAAATCTAGTATACATAACTTCAACAAATCTATAAATGCACTCCGAGAAAAAAGAAAATTTGGAAAATTCAAAACAATCAGGCGCTATTTACGCTGATAAAACAGCACCCACTTGTTAAGTTCACACTCCATCCATACTTTTCTCCATCTTCTTTTCTAAAGGGATAAGTAGACATTGGGCATTCCAAAGTGCCAGACATGTTAAAAATAATAAAACTATAAAAGATAAAACAAAAACAAAAAGTTTCTAGAAGTGCAATTCATCACCTACTTTTATTCAAAATTCAAAAAGTCAATTTTAATTATTATATTAACATTTTTGTCTGATCTAGTGAATCTCTTTGGAATGGATCTTCTTGTTAATCATATTGTCATTATGATACATTCTCTTTGAATGTATGATATATTCAATTTTTTTCTCACTTTTCCATCACTCACAATATTATCTTATAATAGATTAATGTGAAATACATTTCCTTTTCTTTTTTTTGTGGAAGCTTGTTCAAAATTCTAAACTAAGATGGATGATTGATGAAAGAGTATGCCTAAAAAAGAGTATGATCTAATTTCTCTTTTAAATATATATTTTTTGTGTTTTTTTTTTAATTTTATCTTTATTCTTGTAATTTTAAATTGGCGAATTCGATAAAAAAATATATTATTTTAATTTTTTATACCTAAATTTAATATTAAATAATAATACTTTATCTTAACATATTTGATAAAGAGATTTTATATATTTTTAAACTTTCTTATATTTAAATTTAATAATTAAATAATATGTTTTACCATCATAAAACTAATAAAAGGCTAAATTTATAATTTTTAAAAATAGGAGAATTAATTAATTAATTAATTAATTTTAAAAATATAGAATAAAAATATATTGAACCCATTGTTTTTAATAAAAATGAATTCAATTATCAAATAACGTTTCTGTTAACACAAAATATTAGAATAGAAAGTCATTTATGGTAACAACTTTTAATAATAACTTTTTAAAAATATATCTTATGAGGAAAAAATATATATTTTCTATATAAAATAATTGTATATTATCATCTAATTTCAAATTAATATATATATATATCCACGATAATTTTATTGATTTTTATAATAATTGTATATATTTACCCTAAATTATTTTACACATACATTACTATTAAACTCATATTTATATACGTAATTGCAAGTGACTTTGCTTTGCACTAATCCTTCAACCATTCATATCAATCTTTAATGAACATATCTCAAACATTTCCTTGACAATATTAAAACTTTATGGTTTGGTTATATGCGCACCATGTGTGTATAGAATAAATGGATGAATTGATCCGCGGGGCTATTTTGTAATTTCATAATTAAGAAATATTAATCATTAACAATATTTACTATAAATCTAGTAATTTCTAGTTCGACTTTTTCCATATATGTAGGTATCATATGTAGCTTTGTAGATACCTTCGTTAGAAAATATTTATTATGTTTTAGTATAAGTCCTACATAAGAAATCGATATTAGAAATAGCTTTGGGTCAAACCCAAGACATTAACGAGATGTTAGAAGCAATTGACATGATCATAACCAAGAAACCGTGTTGCGAAGATTAAATGGAATTCGTAAATCAAGTTTTGTTTCTGGTGGAATTTTGATTAATTTCGATTCTTAAGAGGCTTTGATTCTAGCCAAAACTCAACCACGTAGATTCTTTATACTTAGGCTAGCAACTAAATTTCAATCAAAATGCGTATGAGAATAAAAAATATCACTGTATAGAAAATACTAAGATTAATAATCGAAAACACTATTTTTGGTATTTTGTATTTGAAGTACTCGAAATAAGGAAAACAGTAAAGTGACAAATCGAAAAGCAGTACCGAATGTAAAACTGCGAAGGAATGAAAAATGCGGAAACCTCAAATTTGTATTAAGTGTAAACGACAAAGCATCGAAATTGCGGATATATAAATAATAGGAAATCGAAATTACAGAAATGTAAATAACAGGAAATCGAGATTACAGAAATGTAAATAGCAGGAGATCGAGATTGCGTTAATAAAAATGACAATGAACTTAAACGCAGAAACTTAACTTTCATTAAAGAGAAATGACAAGGAATCAAAAACACAGAAACTTAAAGTTGCTAAACATAAACTGCATCAAAGTAAATTAGCAGGGAAAATAAAGAAAACGGTAAAGGAAATCAATGAACATGGAAATTCAGATCGCCAGAAACTTCATGATGTTCGTCGTTCTCCGATAGACTTCTCACTAGTATTCCTGCTCTTTCTGCCAATTTCTCCTTTCTCCTCCATCCTCCACTCTATTTATAGGGCATCCTTTAAGCAAGTAACCTCTTAGGAGCAGTTAACGAAAACTGCTACCACGTCCTACGTGCATGTTGCAGTTTCTTCTTCGGTATCAAAACTGCACCCACGTTCCCATAATCTTCGACCTCTGCCACGGTTTAGAAACTGTTTCCTATGTGCGCGTTTAACTGTTCCTCTCTTTATGACCTAGCCGGGATTTCGATATCCACGCAGGTTAGCCTTTCTCTTGATTTTGATCTCTTGATCTCGAGAACTTTGAATTGCTCTTGGTTTTCCTTAAACTTAAGATTACCAAATTTTAATTTCTCGAAAACATTCTTCCTTCGATTTCTTGATTCTAATTCTCGATCATACTGTCACATGGTCGTCGAACGTATTTTCCAACTATCTTTCGATTTATCAGTCTTTAATTCAAAAAAATAGTTTTCAATTTTTTGCTCCCATTTGTTTCTCGATCCGTTTATCTATTTCTCGTTAACAAGTTTATAATTCCTGCGGATTTACAAACCAAACACAGACGAACGCGACAACGTCCGATTTTCTGAACTGTGAAGGCGCCGCCTAACTTTGACATAGTGCAGTGCAGCCTAACAAGCTAGCATTATAAAAATGGTCAAAAAGAAAATGTCAACTTTGGATAGAGCAATAGATTCTCCATAAATACCCTCCTTCTCCACAACCCCATTTGCAAAACAATCAAACAAAAGCATTCCCTTGTTCACAATGCCTTCCACAAAGCTCTTTTCCACTCTTCTTTTCTCACTAACCTTATCTCTATTTCTCCAAACATCTTTTGGAGCTGACCCTCTCTTCCATTTCTGTTCAAATTCTCAGAATTTCACATCCAATAGCCCCTATGAATCAAAGTTGAAAACACTCATCACCTCTCTCATCTACAAGACGCCTTCAACAGGCTTTGGAGTTGCCTCTGTGGGCCAAGACCAAAACCAAAAGGCATATGGTCTTGCTCTTTGCCGTGGTGACGTGTCTGCCTCAGATTGTAAAACTTGTGTTTCTGAAGCACCCAAAGAAATCCTTGATCGCTGTCCCTACAACAAAGGTGCCATCATTTGGTACGACTACTGCATGTTCAAGTACTTGGACTCTGATTTCTTTGGCCAAATTGACTACTCGAACAGGTTCTACATGTGGAACCTCAACAATGTGAGTGACCCTGCATCGTTTAACTATAAGACCAGAGAGTTGTTGAGTCAGCTTGCTCAGAAAGCTTATGTGAACAATAAATTGTATGCAAGTGGAGAGCTAAAGCTTGAGAATTCAGAGACACTTTATGGGTTGACTCAGTGCACCAGAGACCTTTCTAGCGATGATTGTAAGAAGTGTCTTGATGATGCAATCAATGAACTCCCAAATTGTTGTGATGGCAAAGAAGGAGGTAGGGTTGTGAGTGGAAGCTGCAACTTTCGTTATGAGATATACCCCTTTGTCAAAGAGTAGATACTTGTCTTTTATGGATTCAGCCTCATCAGTAATAAACCTTGTTATGCTATTTAAATAGGCATGAACGAATTAAATAAATTATTGTATTTTTACAATATTTTTATGTGACATTTATTTTATTTTTTTATCCATCTTTTATTTTATTGATTCAAACGTAATTTTGATTTCTTAATTTTAGTTTATGCAATTTTTGTTCTTTATTTTTAATTGAGCTACTCAAGTTCTTGAATTTTATTATGAACCTTCTATAATCTCACATATAATAGTCTTTTATTTAATTGGTCGTCTAATATAGAAGTAAATGATAATATGCACTGAACTTTGATATAACAAAGTATTTAAAATATATATACATATGTAGTATATTTTAAAAGAAAATTACTTAAATAAAATTTTTATTAATTTATTTATTTAACATGTAATTTTTTCATAAATTTTTAATTTTTTTCTCTCTCTTCTTATTTTTTCTTTTCTTTTTTATCTTATATTTCTTTTTTTTTCCTCTTTTTTTCACTTATTCTTTTAATTAAGTTATTATATTAAAATTTAATAAAAATATATTAAAATAAATATTTTAAAATCAATAACACAATTAAAAATGTATTACCTAATTATTTAAAATTAGGATGACCATAAATAATAAAATAAATATTTATTAAAAAATTACTTTAAACTAAATATTTAATTTTTTTCTTAATAATTATATAATAATAATAATAATATTTGTAACGTTTTAAATTTATTATATAATATTTTTAACATATAATATATTAAATTATAATATTTCTAAATTATTTAAATATTTTTATTTAATAATAATAAAAAACTCATTTTATCAAATTTCAATTATTATCTTTAATTGAAAAATAAGATAGACTTAGAGAAGAACCATAGATGAGAAAAAAAGAAAATAAAGGAAAACAAACTCAAAAAAAAAAATTTGAAATAAATGAAGAGAGAGAAAAATAAGAAAATAAATTAAAAAAGTGAAAAAATAATTGTATTATATTAGATGAATTTGTTTTTCTTGATTTAATTTTGGGTATGAATTGAATAACTAATCTTAGAGAGATTTTATTCGAATAATAGTGTGAGAAAATAAAAATAATATCTATAATAATAATAATAATAATTATTCTTATTATTATTATTTATATAATAATTAGTTTATTTATATTTAAAAGATAGTTTTATTTTAATATATATCAGGCTTTTGAACATTGTTTCTGGAATCCATCTATTTTTCATACTTTTTTTCTATTCCACTTTCAAATTTTTCTATTTCAACCTCAAACATTCAATTTTTTTTTTTGTACTTTTATATTTCTATAATATCAGTGGTATACTTTTCTCTTTTACATTTTAATGTTATAACATAAAAATTATAATTTTTTAATTAATTATTTTAATATTTTATAATACTCAATTTTTATATTAAAATGTAAAAAAATAGAACGAATTTTAGAGATATCTAAAAAAATTTATATACTCATTTAGAGCATGTACGATAAAATAATTTTAACTTATTAAATTTAAATTGAATAAATAATATTAAAAATATTATTAAAAAACTTACAATATAAATTATATAATAATAAATATCAATTAGAATATATTAAATCTCATATATTTATTTACATAAATATTAAATATACGTGAATGATTTATAATTTTTAATAATTTTGTCGACGATTGTGTTTTCAGTTGTTATGTTTTGCAGTTTTTATTTTAAATAAATTGTTTTCGTTACCCATGTTTAGGAGTTTCCGTTTTTCATGCTATTGGGTGGTTAGTTGCTGATTTTTTGTTTACCCGTTGTAGAGCTAGGCCTATAAACTTGGCTCCTTTTACCTTCAATAACAAGATTTATAGAGACTTGCATATGTATAACAATTTCGTCAGCCTGTCATTTCAAAATTAAATGAGTATTAACCACTGGAAAATGTTCATGTAAAACTTTTTAAGATAATGAGAGTATTGAAATCTCATTGATCCAGGAATTCCTCACACCCACAAAGATAATGAGAAGAAAAAGTTGGAGGAATTGAAGGTGAAAGATTTAAAGGCAAGCTATTATTGATCGAATTGTGCGTAAAACAATTTTAGAAAAGGAGACCTCAAATGTTTGAGACTCAATTGAAACAAAAGTTCTAAGGTATGACAAAGGTACAACACGGTTCAACTATAAGTCTTACAACGAGAATGAGAGATTCTACAAATGAAGAATGACGAATTAATTAATAGCTACTTTGCTTGAACCCTCATAATTGCAAATAAGATGTGAATGCATGGTGAAACGGTGTTGACCGGCATGTTGTTGAAGGTTGAAGAAATTCTTCGTTGACCTTGAGGTACGTGTGATCCATTGAGGAATTTCGTAATTTGAATTCCATGACCATAGATGATAGTATTTTGAGGTGAATTCTCATGAAAAGCAAGTGTTGAAGGTTACACAAGATGAAGAAAGTGGTGGCTGTGAAGTGTTTTTCGAGGTGGAGCTACACGAGGAAGAGGGAGGGAGAGGCAAGTAGACAACCTATAGACAAACAGAGCAATAATAGAATGTATTGTTATTACTGTCAAGAATATGGACATTTCCAAAGTGAATTCCCAAAGAGAAACCGTGGATCAAATTATATTGAAGGTGGTGAAGAAGAAGTGTTACTCATGACACAATTCAAATGCGCAAGAGATGTGGTCATTGATTCAGACTGCAACAATCACATGATAGACAGGTAGAAAGATTGGTTTTATTTTATTGATTCATCCTTTTCTGATGATGTAAAATTGGGGAACAATTATTCCCTAAAGGTGGTTGGGAAATGTACCAATTAAACTTCTAATTAATGAAGTTATGCATATGGTTACTAATGTCTTTTATGTTCCTGAGTTGAAAAATAATTTATTTAATGTGATCAATTTTTAGAGAAAGGATTGATTATTGAATTGAAGCAAAAAAAATGTGAAGTGTTTCAAGAAGATGGTTTAATCTTTGACACTTTTATGACTACTAATCATATGTTTGCTATCTTTGTATAATATGGAGTCTTACAATTGTTTCGAAGCAAGTTCAATATCACTAGCTCAAGTTTGGCACTCACACTATGGTCATTTGAGCTATAGTGGTTTAAAAACATTATTAGACCTTGATATGGTGATGAGGATGTTTGTATTTAAGTCACCAACTCAAGTTTGTGAACATTGTCTCAAAGTGAAGCATTAAAGAGACTCCTTTCCACGACAAAGTAGGTGGCGTGCATCTCAATTATTGTAGGTAATTCAGTCTAATATTTGTGGGCCTATCAATCCTACATTTAATAAAAATAAAAGGTATATACTTACTTTCAATGATGATTAGTCTGATATTTGTGGGTCTATCAATCCTACATTTAATGGAAATAAAAGGTACATACTCACTTTTAATGATGATTTGAGTAGAAAAGTTTGGGTTTATTTACTTGTTGAGAAAAGTGAAACATTTGATGTATTTAAAAAAAAAAAATAAAGCATTGGTTGAAAAGCAAATTGATGCCTTTATCCAAATTTTGCATATTGATAGAGGAGGAGAATACACCTCCAAGGAGTTTGTTGAATTTTGTAATGAGCAGGATATTCAAAGACAACTTATTGTCTCATATACACCGCTGAAAGGAAGAAGCAGACAATAATTAATATGGTTCGATGTGTCCTGACAGAAAAAAAAAAGTTCCAAGAACCTTTTGACTAGAAGCTGTAAATTGGGTGGTTCATATTTTGAATAGAAGTCCAACCCTTGTAGTAAAAAACATCACATCTGAGGAGGCATGGAATGGAATGAAGTCATATGTTTCTTATTTCAGAATGTTTAGTTGCATTGGATTGAGTCTAAGGCTTACAAACTTTATGATCCTCTAAATAAGAATATTTGTATAAGTAGAGATGTCAATTTCAAGAGGATTTAGCTTGGGAATAGGGTGAAGTCGAAACCAATAAAATGTTTTCGGCAAGTGATTCCTCAGAAGAGATTTTTCCAGCAGGAAGTAATTGAGACAAACTCAAATGATGCAACAACAACTTGTACAACCGTTACAAATTCAGATTCAAATGTATCTGATATTTCACCAAGACCTATAGAAATTCCAACTGAAGAGAGGAGGGCTAGAAAACCACTAGCATGGATGAAAAGATTATGTCACTAGTGAGGATTTAACAAATGAATATATAAATTTTGCAATGTTTGCAGGTGCAGATCCAGTCGGATACAATCAAGCATTGAAAAAACCAGCATTAGAGAGATGTAATGGATGCTAAAATTCAAGTTATCCAAAGAAATGATACATAGGAACTAGTTGATCCACCATCGAATTGCAAAATTGTAGGTGTCAAGTGGATTTTCAAGACTAAGCTGAAGGAAACTGGGGAGATTAACAAATTTAAGGTCAGTAGCAACAAATTTAAGCCCGGATTGGTAGCAAAAGACTACACTCAAGAGGAAGGGATCGATTATAGAGAGATTTTTGCTCCAATAGTCCATCCTGAAACCATTAAAACTCTTGTTGCATTGGCAGCCACAAAGAGATGGACTATTTATCAGCTTGATATTAAGTCAGCCTTTCTACGTGGGGAAATCAATGAAGATGTCTACCTAGAATAGACTATGTTTTCCAGGGATGTGAACACTAGATATACAAACTAAAAAAAGGCTTTATATGGCCTTAAACAAACTCTTAGAACTTGGTACAACAAGCTAGAGTCTTATCTTGCAGCTAATAAATTTCTCAAGTGCCCACATGAACACACTCTTCTTGTAAAGGAGAAGGAGGAAGGTAAAATCTTAATTGTGTGTGTTTATGTAGATTATTTGATAGATATGCACAGGTATTCATAAATCATTATTTCAAGAGTTCAAAACTATGATGATGAATGAGTTTACCATAACTGATTTAGGCAATATGAGATATTTTTTAGGCATTGAAGTGTTGCAAAGATGTGATGAAATTTTTATTGGACAAAAAAATATATATCAAAGATATATTGGATAAATTTAACATGCTTGACTGTAATTTGGTGAAAAACCAATTGCTCCAAGGACTAAGTTGTTTTCATGCTTGAGTGTAATTTGGTGAAAAAAACTCATTGCTCTAGGGACTAAGTTGTTTTCATGCTTGACTGTAATTTGGTGAAAAAACTCATTGCTCTAGGGACTAAGTTGTTGAAATCAAGTGAAGGAACAGAAGTTAACAACACTTTGTTCAAACAACTTGTAGGCAACCTCATGTATTTGAATGCCACAAGACAAGATATCGTACATTCCGTCAGCTTGATAAACCGCTTTATGGAGCATAATCATTTTTTGGCTGCAAAACGTATTTGAGATATTTACAAGAACTCAAAATCTGGGAATTTTTTACAAAGTTGGAGAAAATGAAGAATTACTTTTTAATACTGGTAGTAATTATGCAGGGAATCTTGAAGATAGAAAAAACACACTTGGATATGTTTTCATGTTAGGAGGAGGTGTGATTTTTTGGGCATCAAAGAAACAACCAATAGTCATTTGTCCACAATTGAAGTAGAGTTCATAGTAGTTGGTTTGTGTGTTTGTCATTATGTTTGATTCATAAAAATTTTGGAACATCTAGAACACCCACGAAGGAACTACTGTCCTATTTTATGACAATGCATCTACCATCAAACTATCCAAAAACTCAATCTTGCATAGAAGAAGTAAAGTGAGATTTCATTTCTTAAAAGGTTTATGCAACAATGATGTTATAAAGTTAGATTATTGCAATACAAAAGAATAACTCGCATATATAATGATAAAATCACTTAAAGTTGATAGTTTTCGACATTTACGAAATGTATTGGATATGCTCGAAGAACCAAAGATAAACTGTTACAAGGAGCATACGGTTTAGAAAATGTTGATTGCATTTACCGTAATTATGCTTTGTAGTTTTTATTTTAAATAAATTGTTTCCGTTATGCACTTTTAGGGGTTTCTATTTTTCATGCTATTAGTTCTATAAACTTAGCTTCTTTTACATTGATTAACAAGATCTACATGGGACTCGTAGTATTCTATGTTATTCAAAAGCAGCTCTGTGTTAACATATTAACATTTATAATATATATTTGTATATTTGACTTTTGGAATATAGAAAATTGAAAAAAATTCTCATTAAGATGTAATAATTTTGTTATATTTTGAGTCTTGGTAAGTAATGGTTTAGAACGACAAGAACATAAATTTTATAACATGTTAAGAAAAATTCTTTTATCCAAAACTAAAATAAAATATATATGATTTCACAACATTTCTATTTTCATAATTTTCAACTAATAAATTATTTAAAATTTTATATTTAAAAATAAAAAAGTACTTAAAATTTTAACATATAAACCATTTCTCAAAGGATCGTGCATTAATATCCATGATGTTTTCCATCTTTCTTTCCCTCCAAGGAGGCAATAGTACTACGAGCCCCTTATTTCGTTTCTGTTTTAACCATACACCCATTATAGCCCTTATGCTACCAACTTAAACCAGTTGTTTGACTTGTTGCACAACAAAGTATCCCCTAAATAATGGTTTTGGAAGTCTTGTGTAAATGATGCCACCAAAAAGCTTCAAGAACGGTGCCCAAAGAAGAAGGGAGCATAGTTTGGTACGATTATTTCCTCCTTAAGTACTATAGTGAATACTTCTTTAGTGAAACTGATGAGAGGAACACGTTTTATATGGTTAACATCTACGACGTAGATGACCCTGCTACTTTCAATGGTAGAGTGAATGAGTTGTTAAGGGGTTTGTCCTACAATGCTTCTCAAACTCCCATGTTATATGCCGTAGGAGAATTGCAAATTGAAAAATAAAAAACATTGTACGGTTTGGCTCGTTGCACATGTTATATTTGATAGCTAAATAAATGATCATGTGGACTCAGAAATTCATAAGCGTGCTGTATATATTATACAGAGTGGATTTCTACCTACAGAAATGTATCAGATTGATGCCTTTTGAAACAGGTAACAAGGAATTTCACGGTAAGTAGACGAAATGTAATGCTACCAATGTTCGTAAAAACTAGTTTCCTCTGCATTTGTACCATGTTCCTTGTTTGATTCCTACTTACCAAATAGCTCAGAAAACAGTTTAATATTCTGGAACGATGGGTTTGTTTGATGCATGGATTAGGTGCCCTGTACATCTACATTTATTCTACAAACCAAGGGAAAAAAAATTATGCTGCCAGATTTTGATTGGTTAGACTAGAGAAAAAATTACTTATGTATGAAACTTTTTGGTCCAATGATGTGCGTGCAAGTGAACTAAGTCACAGGTTTTTTATAATGGATTTGATAAATTAGTTTCAAATTATGAATGTGAAAAAGGCCAAAGTTGAGTTGTTGTGAATCCAACAACTATCATCCGAAAATTCTACACCTGTGAACCCGCCAGGTATCAACCACCCAAACGCCTCCCACCCTTCCACTATGTCAGAAAATTTAATAAATAAGACATTAGGAATCATATGGAAGAGTCGAGACTGGTGGGAAAGAGTACTTGCATTCATCTGCATGACTATACCAACTCCAGCATTGCATGACAGAACCACATGTACACATCATCATCTAAAGATTCTTCTCCTCATTCCTTCATGTCTCTATATATAGACTTCTAAACTCAAGGTCAAAATGTCAATCACAACCAATCAATTAACTTTAATCATTTATCATTTTGAATCTTCTCCATCACTTACATACCTCACTTAGCAGTTACAAAATATGGGTGTTCCAGCAATCTTGTTCAGGGTATCTTTTCTGGCCATACTCATCAAATTGGCCTTGGCTACAAATTTCATCGTTGGAGGACCAAATGGTGGATGGGACACAAACTCAAACCTTCAATCATGGGCATCATCTCAAATATTCTCAGTGGGAGATAGTCTTGGTAAGTCAGTACAAGCATGCATCCATGAAACACATTACCTTTATGTTGATCAAACTGAAAGAGAAAGCATAGAGTTGTTTGTAAGTTAATGACATTGACATTGATGCATGCAGTTTTCCAGTACCCGCCAAACCATGACGTGGTTGAAGTTACAAAGGCAGACTATGACTCTTGCCAGCCAACTAACCCTATTCAGTCTTACAATGATGGCACCACAACCATCCCTCTCACTTCACCAGGGAAAAGATACTTCATCTGTGGGACAATAGGACATTGCAGCCGAGGAATGAAGGTTGAAATAGACACTCTTTCTAGTGCAATAACTGCGCCCACACCAGCAGCATCTCCTGAAGATTCGACTACTTTGCCTGCAGAATCTCCCGAAGATTCTACTACCACGCCTGCAGAATCTCCCGAAGAAATTCCCACCGTACCAAGTCCATTGTTCCAAACTCATCTTGAAAGTCCTATATTCTCTCCAGTCATTCCTTCCACCGAATTTCCTGCTTCTGTTTCACCGGTAGCACAACATTCACCAGACCTATCAGCTTCATCTACCAGGAAAGGAAATATACAATCCTTCCTTGCAGTAGTGTCAAGCTTTCTAATGATATTTATGGCCTTCTAAGTATGGGGGAAATTTTACTTAACCGTTGCTTCTGAGTTTATTGTGTGAAAATCTGTTTTGGTGTTCTCTGTCAGTTCGGTGTGGTTATTGCTTACAATTTCAGAGATAATTTCTGAGCGTGTATTATTAGTCAATGGTATTTTTCAATAATTTCTATGCTTGCGCTGACTAACTTCAAGTCCTCAAAACTTTGCACTTAAAAACTGAAAGGAACCTAAACTACTTTCTCACTAGAGCAGGTGATGTGAAGAAGACAAGACAGGACAATTAGAAGGAAACTTCCCATGTATTAATACACTGCAGAAAATCAAGCATACTTTATGACTATGAGGTGATATAACTTCCCAAATGGACATGGCATTCATTGAGTATCTTGCAAGAATAGTCACTTTATGTTCTTGAAAATGAAAGAAATATAGGTGATCATTTGGTTCTAGAACCTGGACCAAGACAAATGAAAACATTCCAGCGAGGAATCACTTAAATTCACCTTTATTTTTAATCATGCAACACATACTATAGCCGTGACATGTTCCACTTTCTTAAAATAGTTCAAACAACAATAGCACAAATTTATCTTATTAACCAGTTTCCGAGCACACTTCTCCGGTGACTATAAGAGAACACACAATAGACATGATGGATAACTTGTATAAAAATATAACACAAGTAAAAAACACATACAACAAAGTGGATGCTGTTGCTAACCACTTCATGCAACTGGAGGTCGAAGCAGATGATCCTTTGATGTATCAACTACAGCAGGGGACATAAACTGCCACATAGCAATTCCAGGGTAGCCAATTAAAGGTATCAGCTTATGGCTACCAACTTGTCCTTTAGCAGCTGGGGCTTGAGGGAGGAAGCTATGCTGTATATTTTTCAGTTTTACTTGCTGCTCCAATTTTTCTTTCTCTTCCTTCAGCATATTCTTCTCATCACGAAGCTCATTCTTCTCAGACTGCGAGGAAACAGTAGTTAAGAGCTACACACAATTAACAGATACACTCATGATCACCACTTATTTTGATACAGAAAGCTTAGGCAATCTAATTTAAGACAGAAAATCACCTTCAACTCTTTAACTTTTGCCTGTAATTCATCATTCATTTCCTTCAGCTTCTCGGCTTCATTTCTCAATTGCACTACCACTCGAGCAGCATCACTTAATATTGCAACTTTGTCTGCTTTGGGCGGCCTACCAGGCTCTAAGATAGAACTCAATTCCAGAAACCTTAAAATGATGCCAAATTGAAGACATGAGTCTAAGAACACTAAACTCAATCAGACAAGATGCAAAATAAAAGCATGCCTCTCATTCAGTTTATCCCTTCGCAATTTTTCGCGACATGCCTTGGAGCCAGATCCACATGATTCGGTCCTTAACCTGAAGTAGCAGTTCAAAATGTTTTAGGGAAAATAATGAAAGAAAGATAAAGGTGACAGAGGTTGGCAAATTAATCACAAATTTCAAGTTATTGTAGGCACACAGAATCACATCAAACTTACAGTCACCCAATTGAACTGTCACCAAGCATAGCAGAGATGTATACTTAACCCTGTATTAGTTGACTAAAGTTTAACATAATCACTGTTAGCTAACTAAGAAAAATAATAGTCAGTGACTAATAATAATTGCTTAGACACAATTGCAAGATTCTTTGTACTCAAACCCACGTTCACTGTAGTACATGGAATTAATTTCCTCTTCTATATTTACAACAGGGAGAAAAACTTTATCTCAAGTTCTAGCCGACAGACTTCCGATAATTTGGTGCTCTATTGCTGTAGAATTGCATAATTCTTAAAACATGTAGGACCTGCTTCATATTGTACAAATTTCTAACTATCCTGGTTATGATAACTCACATCCCTGCTCCATGTCAAGATTCCAAGTCATAGAACTTTGAACCAAATCAATAACAGTTAAACCAAAACAGTAGTGAAGGTACAACTTTTACTTCACATATTCTTTACAGAGCCACAAGAGATATTACCGCTTTGAAGGACCATTCTCCAGGACAGTTGAATCCAGTGAGTATTCCATTTCCAAGCTGCAATTATGGAATTATTATCATAAGGCAGTTCTAGCTTTTAAATAAAGGTTAATTTAATTTCTCCTGTATAGAGAAAAACAAGAAATACACTATTCACCGCAATTCCCATGTTTAACAACACTTTGTAGTGCAGAGTGTAAACCAAACAGAAAGTAAAAGAAGAATAGAAAGTTACAAGCCAAACGCACCTAATATTTGAAGGAGGACCCTTTAAGGTGTGACTTTGAGGCCCCCAACTGAAACCTCCAGAGTCTGCTGCAGCCATGAAGTCCGCACCAGCAACAGGGATATCAAAGCCATAATCATAAAGCCAACCGGAGGCACCACCTGAGGAATTCATGTCCATGTTAAAAGCAAGCAACAAAAAGAAAAAGAGTGTTCTGTGTATCAACTCAGGCTAAGAGTGAATAGCGTGAGAATATTATAATAGTACGTAACACAATTTATTCATTTGTTCCTTTGGCTTTTGATTATTTTACTTGTTTGTTCCTTATCTTCCGTGTAAGTGTGAAGAGAAAGTCATTGTGGTGATGAGGGCTGTGACGGAAGCAGCAGATTGCGCGTCATGGTAGAACAGTGCACCATGGCCAATTGGCATTACATTGCCTTCCGTTGTTACAGTGCAGAGGAACCAAGTAAACGCCATCACTTCCTTTGTTGATGCCTTCATGTTGGGGCCGTTTCACAAGCAAATTAAGCTGAGTTGACCAGAAATAGCATTCAAAATAACTTTTTGTTGCTAACGTCAAAATATTCTGCATAGTACTTCTCTTTTGCTACGAGACACAGGATTCATAAGACTGGTGATTCTAGTTGAACAAGATAATATATATGATAGTCGGATCAAATAAAAATACATAATTCACATTCAAACAAGGTACTCAAAATAATTTTCATCTTTCGTGTCTAAGACAATGAATTCGAGACTTCAAACGACAAGCTAAATCTACAATTATGTAAATGCATGGCTTAACTTCAAACTTTTAACTAACGACAACAATCTCATGTAAACTAATTATATTATTTAACTTCTGGTAGTTTCTTTAAAGTATAATTCAATTATTTGTATGGTGGATAAACAAACAAATTATAATTACTAACTTATCCGAAGAGATGAAAATAGCATTTCTATTTTATATATTATTAATAAAATAAACCTCATTTCTGAATAAAAAGGAGGTATTAGTAAGAATATTATAAATCATTGAAGAAACAGACGTATCAATCCTATTAATAGTAGTAGTAATAATTTCATAATAGTGATTAGCTCATTCATCTGCTCGTTGGATGCTTAATAAATACAACTAACCCTAATGGCTTGAAACATGCTGTTAATTGATGTGACGTGATGTGCATAAACGCATCATTTTTAAAATTAAGAACTCAAATCAGAAATTAAAGACCAAACAACTCTCTATTATACTCCTACTTTAATTAATAGTAGATCGGTTAAAATTATTGTTGGAATAAAATATTTAATAACTGATTTACAGTTCAACTAATCTTCTAAAAAATATTGTCATGAACAACTCTAATAAATAAACACGTCTAACATCTAATGACAACATTATGACACTGATAAAATAAACACGAAATAATATTTAACATTAAATCATGGTTACACACAAACTTATGAAGGTTTGTTCCAATTTGGAGAAAGACGTGTCCACATCACTCATTTGTAACGGAGACACCAAGTTAAAATTGAATTTAGCATGATTGTGGAACTTTTTTAGTATCTAAGATTAACGAGGGCAATTTAAATTTATTTTTTAAAATCTTAAAATGCGTAAAATTAATTAATAAATAAATCAAAAGAAGCAAATAAAGACCTCAGTTATTTTTTTCATGTAAAATAAAAATTTATAATATCATATCATTTTTAAACAACTTAATGATTGATTGATTTTATTTTATTAAAAGGTTTTTTAAAAAAATTAAAAACTTATTCTCTTTTTTTTCTCTTTTAATTTGTTTAATTTTGTAAGTAATTTAATTTGTTAAATTTTGTAAGTGCTTCGACGAAATAATTACTAAAAAAAATTTAAATATTTATCATGTTACATAATATTTTTCAATAAAAACTTATTTAAATAACTAATACTTATTTAAACATTTTAATAAGAATCAATATTTTCAAAATCGATTAAACTTTACATCCAACTCATTTAACGAAGACATATGAGTTCAAAATTTAAAGTTTCAAATAATATCAAATAAGGATAATTTCTATTAATGTGAAAAAAAGAGTCATATTTGATATAAGTATGAAAATACCATCATTATTGACAAGAAAATTCATTACACGTTAACTGAGAAAACTCCATAAAATTTGTAAGGTGAGACTGTTTTAATTAGGGTGGCAAAGTTGACTCACCACGGGTTGAGCTAAAAATAGGTGAGCTCCGGTTCACTTTTTGACGAGCCAGAAATTTTACAATCCAACTCAACTCATTATGGGTTGGTGAGTTAGGTGGGTTGACTCACTAACCCATATTTTTTTTATTATATAGAAACTTCGAATGTAGAAACTTCGCTTTCTTCCTTTCTTTCTCAACATCAAGTATCTTCGTTATTAACTGAAATTGGCTCATTGGATTTTTCATTAATAATAAAATCATCACCAATACAATTTACATTGACACTTTGATATATTGTTTCAAATTTCATACTTTAAATTAATTTAAAATAAAGAAGTCAAAAATTCATATATTAAAGAGATATACGTATAAATCAATAATAAACAACAAATAATGTATAGATGCTACAATTCTCAAATAAAGATTCATCAATTCAATAGTTTAGGTTATGAAACAAATTCTTACCTTAGAAAGCAATATAGTGGACATGGTGTAGTGGTGCGGTGGACAGATAATAAGATAAGTGACTCAAGTGCAGCGGCAAACGCAGTGGTGCAACGAATAATTGATAACAAGTTTAAGTGAGAGTTTGACGTGTGGCGACAACTAACAATGTAGGGTAGAGGTAAGATAGGATAATATCAATTAGAGTTACTAAAGTATTATAATTATTTTTAAAATTTAAAATAAATGATTAATTAAGGTTAATATATTATTATAATTATTTTTAAAATTTAAAATTAATGGTAGATTGCGGGCCAACTCACCATAACCCAACTCGAACCCATTTAACCTGTAAGTTAAGTAAATCGAATTCATTTTTAACCCATATTAGGTGGCTGGAACATGTGGTGAACCAGGGTCACGTCCCTAGTTTTAACAAGGCAGAAAGTTTATCTCCCAAGATCGAACGAGACTTCGGTTCTGATCCAAATTAAGTTTATATTTTATTTTATTTTTAATTAAGATCAAATTGAGCAATTATTGATGGATTGGCCCTACATAAAATTCGATTGGACCTGCCCAAATCAATTCTAAACCCAATTTTTCACTCTGGCCCAGCTGACCCAGCCCAACTCGAGAGTCCACCGAATAATTTTAAACATTACTGCCTGATCTACAACGTAACTGGTAAAAAAAAAAAAAAGTGGGTGTGTCTCTATTCCCGTTTTATGAGGAGCCCCGATGCCCGAACCCTCTTTTTCAGAGGAAAACGTTAAAGAAATACTAACTAGAGGATAAAAATGGAGATCAAACCATGCCTCCACTACTGTTAACGTTGCCAACTAAACTTCATCACAGCTTGCAACAACAACAACATGGTAAGTAATAATGGCAACAGTGAATACAAAGATTCAACCAAACAATGAATATGCAGACAAGAAACGGCAAAAAGTTAACTTCAGTGACTGTCATCATTGAAAATCAGTGTAGATTGCCAGGGATGGTTCTGTAAATTCACTTGGCCACAATACACAAAAGTGCTACCACTCTAAAATTATCTCAATGCCCATTAATTGAAAAAAAAAATCATCAAAGTAAAATCCCCATCACCCAGTAAAAATGTGAAAAAAGAGAGTAATAAGAACCACTCAGATCCAATACCAGTTTTCCTTTTCCTTTTCCCTTTTGACCCAATTGCCATCTCTGATCACGCAATTGCAAAATGCAGATAGATAGCTACACAATAGCATGTACAGGACCTGGGGCCACCAGGGCCGACCCTGGTGTAGGTGTATTAATCGGTGGCGCCGCCACACTTGGAGAATTTGGAGGGGAAGTTTCCTCCGGCGGCGGGGGTGGCGATTGGAGCACCGGCGGTGGCGGTGGCGGTGGCGAAGATGGGTTGGTGTCGGAAGGAGGAGGAGGGGTTGGATTTGTAACCGGAGTGGTTGGTGGGGTAGTGGGGTATTGAAGGGGGGAAGGTGGAGTTGGTGAATTGAAATTGGGGTTTGGGAATGTGGTTGGTGGAGGAATGCAAGACCCATCGGAACATTCAATTGTAGTGTTGTTGTGGTGGTGGCGGCGTAGGAGCCCCAATCCCAAAACCAGACCGAGAACAACGAGCACCGTCACTATGAAGATGAAGATCTTTGTTGCTTTCCCCACGTAGCACATTCTCTTTGTTTTCTCTCTGCAGCTGGGAAAAACGAATTTGTGAATGTTGAAGATGACGGTGGGGGCGTTGTCTGCGTGTCCTACCTTGAAACTCGGTTTCCTTTTCAGTACTATTTCTTCTCCTAGTATTTGTTAACCTGGTTCAGCAGAGATTCTGAGTGTGGGTCTTGTGACTTCTTTTTCGTCTTTTTCTCATGGCGTTTTGGGGAAGGAGAGGGAGAGAGAGAGTGAAAATGGGAGAGGGTGCATGTCAAGAGTTACAACAACTGGTACTTCTGCCTCGCTTATAAATGAGGCCACTGAGTGGGGGTGTTATAATGCGAGCACGTGAAGTAAGAAAAAGGTTAATTTGTAATGAGAAATGAGGACCATGGTCAAGTCGTTTTTCCTTGCACTTTCCTCTCACAGCGGCTTCTGCTAACTTGTAAGAGTTTTCGTAACGTAATAGCCATCCATTACTGATGTTAACCCCTATTCTTGGCCATTTCCTTAGGCCATTTTCCACCCACAATATAAATAAATAAATAAAATCAAGAGATTGTTTTATTATCCAAAGAAAAAGGCGAATAAAATGTGTCATGGGAAATTCGATATTGTATTGAAATTGTTCATTTTCACTGTGTCAGAGAGAACCTTGGTTCACACGAAGGAATCTACTATGACCAAGGATGGAGAGTAAAATTGAGCCGTTAAAAGAGGAATAGTCAATTACTCATTTATCATAGAAAATCGAGCTTGCCAGACATGCATGTCTGCCACGTCAGTCTCCTGATAGGGTTGTCTGTCTCATCTATTGGGCTGGAATGGAATGGTTATATTTTAATAATAAAAAACATATATTTGGACTGATCAATAATTTGTTCTCAACATGTTGGTATGGGGCCCAACTGAACTTTTTGGTTTTCACCTCTTTGTTATATTCTGCTTTGTTTAGAAAGTGGGCCAGATCGGTTGCCACAAAGATGGGCCTCGATAAGAAGATCCACAAGTACACTTTCTTTATACATCACCACAGTTTTTTTTTTTCTGCACCTTTATAATTAAATTAGATCTTATTTTATTTTTACATTTTTCTTCATCTTAGTTTATTTTTTGTTTTTAAATATTTGAATATATAATTTTTAAACTTTACTACAACATTTTCATTATTTTTTATTTTATTACTCTAGAAATTACAAGAACAAACAATAATTTTTTATTATTTTTAATTTATATCAATTTTTTATCACATACAGTATTCTGCTTTGTTTAGAAAGTGGCAAGATCGGTTGCCACAAAGATGGGCCTTGAAGAGAAGATCAACGTCACAAGGTAAGACACTTTCTTTCTAGATCTTCATTGTTTCTTCCTACATCTTCCTAATTAAATTAAATTTTATTTTATTTTTATATTTTTCTTCATCTTTATAAGTATTTATTTTTGGTTTTTAAATTTTTTAATATCTTATTTTTAAACTTTACTTAAGTATTTTCATTATTTTTTCTCTTATTATTCTAAGAATTATAAAAAACAAGTAAGAATCTCTAATTATTTCTAATTTGTATTAATTTTTTTATTTTAATATTTGCGTGACAAGATTTCTTGTTGAAAACATGTTTAGGGGATTCGGAATATATTCCAATTTTTTTTTGTTTAGAATAGAGTTCTAAAATATATTTTTGAAATTGATTTTTCATACAAATATTCTGAAATTCATTTTTTAAAATATATTCCAAAAAAAAAATTGGTAGTGTATTTTTATATTGATTTTTTTGAAAATACATTTTAGAACACAATCTAAAATGTATTTTTGGATTATCTTGTTCAGAAATACATTTTGAGATAGGTGTTTTAGAATATGTTTCCTAAAAATTAATATATTCTGGATTGTATGTTGTATAACTCAATTTGATTTACATAAAATTATTTTGAATAGAGTAATTTGAGTTTTAACGTACAATTTCAACATAGAAATATATAATATTAATGATTAATCATCTTTTAAGTGTTAAGAACAATCTTTAACAGAGGTGATATCACAATAAATCAAATCAGGTGTAGAACTTTTGCAGGAAAATAGAAGAAGTTAGGATTTGAAACAACAACTATTGAAAGGGTATTTTAGTTATTTTACTTGGGATATGGATGTGCTGGGAAAAATTATGGGGTGTAGGAAGAAAGTGCCTAGGTAAATTACTTGAAGCTTATAAAGCCCAATTTAGAAGCAGGTGAAGAATGCGGGAAAAAATTGACATTGACGGTCCAGAAGCCCTCTCTATCCTTCATCATCGGTCCAAGAAGGAAGAAGCAACGTCCACCACGACGTCCCTCATCGATTTGGTCCATATATAAACTGCGTCCGTTAGTTAGCGCCTTTAATACACAAATAACAAGATTCAAATCAAAACTTACCATTAGCGATCCATTGTTATTCATTTCATTCTTCTTCTTCTCTGCTTTTCTCATAGATAGATAGATTCTTTGATTGCATGGTTCATGCAATTAGTATCAAGAAGTGCTAATCTCGAATTAATAGCGAGCGGTGATGGACAACATAGTGTGTGCAGCACAGCGCAACATGGGGACAAGAATGACGTTTCAGTTTCAAGAAAGGTATAATTCACAGCATGAAAGAATGCCAGGTGAAGTTATACGTGCGGAGAAAGCAAGGAAGCAAAGAGTCACGCATGGCTTCAAATTGGACCGTAGCCACGTCAAGAAACAACCACGTCTTGGACTGCCGTTCAAAGCTGCAACTGCTGAATCCGAGGTAGCAATTTTTTTCCGATTCTCTTGCCTACCAAGTAAACATACTTAGTTACGATAAGTTCCATTACGAGTTGAAAGTTTTTTTACTGTTCATCATTCTCGCAAGTGTTCTTTCTTTTTCTTGATTGATTTGCTTTTTTTCGTCTATGCATTGTTCAAGATGACAATAATTTCATTTATCTTTTTGCATTTCCTTGTGGACCAAACAAAATTTCGTATACCACGGGTTAATTGGATTGACAATAATGACCCTAACTCGTCGTCACCCTCTTTCTTTGTTTGCATTTTGTATCGTAACTGAGCGATAACTATTCCAGTGGTCCCCACTATCAAATGTTTATTTTAATAATAAAACGGGAATAAGAAGGAAAGTTGACTGATTCACTAAGACCAATCAATAATTTTTTGTGTTGTATCGTATAAACCCGACAAAAGTTTAAAATAATGTTAACATATATGCAGATATTGTTATTTTTTGGGCAGATATCCCCAGCTAAAAGAGGAGGGTACTTACTTCTTCTGCATTTTAATGAAAATTGTGTCTTATACTGATCAATATTAATCTAGCGACCCGAATCTTTAAGTTTATATAATCTACATTTTTATAATGCAGATAAATAATATTCAATATATTTTGTCAATTATTTTAAAATTTATCAAATATGTTAGTATGTTATATTACAATTTAACAAAATTAGTATAAATTCACATAAATATTATTTTTATTTGTTATATGTTATATAACAAATTAAATGAATATTTTTAAGACTTTTGTTAAAAAAAATATTTTTAATAATATTATTGAATTTAATATCAAATGATGAAAAGCATGTAATATCTCCAATTTCATCAAAATCTTATAGTAACCTACAGATTCTGCTAAAAAAATGCAGCTACAAATTCGTACAATTTCCGAAGATCCAATGCTTGCCAATTATGTACCAGTATATGTGATGCTCCCAGTAAGTCAAAAACCCTAAAATTTCTTTCTACATACCTATTATTCCATTTTATAAATGTGATGGTTGTGGCTTTCAGTTGGGAGTTGTTACAAATGAAAATGTCTTAGAAGATAGAGTGGGACTAGAGAACCAACTCAGGGAGCTACATGCAGCAGGTGTTGATGGGGTTATGGTTGATGTCTGGTGGGGTATAGTAGAATCCAAAGGTCCTCAGCAATATGATTGGTCCGCTTACAGGACCTTGTTTCAATTGGTTCAGAACTGTAAACTGAAGCTACAAGTCATAATGTCATTCCATCAATGTGGAGGGAATGTAGGAGATTCTGTTTTCATTTCACTACCTAAATGGGTCCTTGAAGTTGGAGAATCAAACCCTGATATCTTTTACACCAACTACACAGGTATCAGGAACAAGGAATGTTTATCCCTCGGCGTGGACAACCAACCTTTGTTTCATGGACGAAGTCCGATAGAGGTAAACTTTCACGTAATCTTTTATTTCATATATTCTTGTATTCTTGTTGTTTATGAACTCTGATTGTTCTTTAACGATCTAATCATACCAAGTCTTGTTACTATTCCTATATATCTAATCACATGCACGAACATTAAGCTATTTTGGTTCTACCCAAGTCCAATTTGGGTACTTTATCACGAATTGAAAGAAGCCTGATACAAAACCAAGCCAAAAGGAAATGTGGATTTCTCTGGTTTCCAATTGATATTATTTTTGCTTCTTGATGTTAAATTCATTGTTTGTTGCTTTCATACAGCTGTATACCGACTACATTAAGAGTTTCAGAGATAATATGGAAGATTTTCTTGAATCTGAGCTCATAATAGATATTGAAGTCGGACTTGGGCCTGCAGGAGAACTCAGATATCCCTCTTACTCAGAAAATCTGGGGTGGGTATTTCCTGGAATTGGAGAATTTCAGGTGAGTATGGAGTTTTCTGATGAAGCTATTTGTGTGTAGTTCTAAAATGTGTTAGATACATTGCTGAAAACAAATAACGTATCAGCTTGACAGTACATATTCACGACTAATATCACTGAAAACAAGTCATCCAATTCTTAAACTTATTTGAATATGTTTAAAATCTTGCAGTGCTATGACAAATATCTTAAAGCTGACTTCAAAGAGGCAGCAGCAAAGGCAGAGCATCCTGAATGGGAGCTGCCAGATAATGCTGGGGAATCGAATGATGAACCGGAATCTACTGAATTTTTCAAATCAGGGGGAACCTATCAAACAGAGGAAGGCAAATTTTTTCTGACATGGTATTCCAACAAGTTGTTGACCCATGGTGATGATGTCTTGGATGAAGCCAACAATGTATTCCTAGGTTGCAAAGTGAAATTAGCAATAAAAGTAAATTCTTTGAATGAATATAGTAAATTAGCAAGTTTTTTTTTCTGCATGAATTAGCTGACATTTTCTTATAAAATAGGTTGCTGGAATCCACTGGTGGTATAAAACCGAAAGCCATGCTGCAGAGCTTACTTCAGGATATTACAACTTATGTCATAGAGATGGATACAGACCCATAGCAAGGATGCTTTCCCGACACAAAGCTATCTTAAATTTTACATGTCTTGAGATGAGAAATGATGAGCAACCAGTTGAGGCCCACAGTGGAGCCCAGGAACTTGTCAAGCAGGTAATTTATTTCAACTTCGATTCCAATCTTATTCCTTCTCCATAAAATCAAGAGATGTCTAATTGATATATATTCTAAGTTTTAACCAAACAAATATACTAGTTCCTTACTTTTTGTAATTAAAAGTAATTATTTGTACGTTTTCTGAATTTCTTATCAATCTTGATAACTATTAGCTTTAAACCCAGTTAGGTTGACTTAGTGATACGATTTTGAATAATAGATGTTAAGTTTATTGTCATTGTTCTCACTGAACACATAAGATGTAAGACGTCGTCACTATATATATATATATATATATATATATATATATATATATATATATATATATATATATATATGATTCTAAACATCCATAAATTATTAGAATATAAATAATGGAGGTGGTGATGAAACCTTGTTGGAGAAAAAAACCGTCTTAACTGGGTTAATATACTTGGAGTGAACCCAGGAGTTGCCGGAACATTTAACGGGACCCAAGAGGAAGCCATCAAAGAGAATTTCTTTGATTAATATTTCGCTGTGATGCTTATTCTCCACCAAAATCGCGCCATTCTCTCCAAAGCTTTATTCAATTCAAATTCAGCTTCAAAGAAATGCATTTTTCATCTTTACTTTTTCTTTCTTGACAAACTTTTGTTTAAAAACTAAATATATAATCCGTACTGCATGGCATGAGAATCTTGAATAGCCTCTGTGGGAAACTGAGTCTAACATCAAGATTTCTATATGCAAATTAAAAAAAATCTAATAAATGTAAAATATTAATACACATAAATAATTGTTTTATAAAACAAGTTATCCACAACATATTATGTGTCTGATTGTCCCAGTCAACATTACGAAATAACAGAGAGAGAAATGATTAATAATACATATGTTGTCTTTTAATCCACTATTTTATAACCTATCCTGCATAGTTTTATTCAGTGCTGCGTTCTCTTGTAGGTGCTTAGTGGAGGCTGGATGGAAAACCTTGAAGTTGCAGGGGAAAATGCACTCGCAAGATATGATCGTGGAGCTTACAATCAAATCCTTCTAAATGCTAGACCGGCCGGTATTAACAAATTTGGCCCTCCAAGACTGAAAATGTATGGTGTGACATACCTTCGTTTATCAGAGGAGTTAATGCAGCAGACAAACTTTGATATATTCAAAGCCTTCGTGAGAAAGATGCATGTAAATCTGGTAAGCAGCATAGCTGCATTAAATGTCTGATGACAATATTTTGTCGTTTGAAAGTGTATAATCAAAAGGCTCTCCCTTATTGTAAAAATTTACAGGATTACTGTCCAGACCCGGAGAGGTACTATCATTTCACAGAACCTATGGAGCGATCAGAGCCAAGGATTCCATTACAGCTTCTTCTGGAAGCAACCCAACCATTGGAGCCTTATCAATGGTTAGAGGAAGCAAATGTGAGCCAGAGTGATGTTGTTGGCTTTCTTAATTACATAGTTTCTATTATCTTACGTATATTAAGGCTGAAAGTAAACTAGAAAGGAAATGGAAAAGAAGGAAGGAATTGCAAAACAGCATAAAAGAAAGGATCACAAAAATATCAATTTTACATGTTCTTTTTGTATATACATGATTTCTAAGTTGTACTAAATATCAATGATAATACCCAAAACAATACTTCACAAAAATATTATGTTAGCAAGAGAAGTTACGGGGTGAATTTCGCAAGAAGGATTTTACTAACAAAGTATAAACGATGATGAGTTGTTATTTCTAATAGAGAACCAATTCTGACATTTATGTCCGCCATGTCAGCTTTTTGTAATGGGGTTGTTTGTCGAAACAATATTATCATTGGAAAAAACTATTTTGAGACCACATCTTATCAATAATCGATTTTATATTATAATAATAATTTCAAATTATTTTTATTTTTATTAAGAAAATGATAGTTTGACTATCCAAATTTATAAATTTTTATAAACAACTAATTTTTAATATTATAATAATAATAATTTTAATTTATTTTTATTTTTATTAAATATTTTAATCATTATTATATTAATAAAAAGGGTTGTAAGGAGAGTTGTTTGGACAAGGATGTCACCTTATTAAATCATTTAATGATTATTATATTAATAAAAGAAGTTGTATGCGGATTGTATTTGACAAATAGATATTTCTTATTATTTTGGCTGAAAAATGATATTTTAACACTTTCATTTTATACACATACAAATGATAATCTTAAAATAATAATATTTTGGTTGATTGATGGAGAATAAAGAAAGATGTTGAATAATGGTATAAAAATTTAAAAGTGAGATGTTGAATAATTATTTATGTTTTTTTGCGGTGTCAAAATATCAGTCCTATTATCTTTTTATGTTTACGTATCTTGCATGATAGCAAGAACTTATATACGATAATTAGTGTATGAAAATGAAGGTCATTTTATGTTTTTAAGAAGTCTTGGATGTACTTCTGAATGGATATGAAGGACTACCAGAGAACCCCATCGAGACATAATGTATGACGTTTTGAGAGGAAAAGAAACGTAATTACAAAGTTATTTTACATTCATCAGTGTGTTGATAAAAACAATTTTGAACCTTGCGATAGAAGCGTGGGATATACTGACGCACAATTATGCAAACAGAGAGAGGTTTAAGGTGGTGCGACTTCAAATCTTGCATCATCAATATGAGTTGTTGTAGAGGGGGACACAAGAAATAATCCAAAAATACTTTGCAAGATTGTTTTCGATCTCAAAATTGATGAAGTCATGTGGTGAAAGCTTGAAAAAAATGAGTGGTGGTGCTGAGAACTCTCAATGCTAGGTTTGATATAATTTCTATAGCTATCGAAGAGTCTAAAGATCTTGACCTGTTTAAACTTGATGAACTACATGGATCATTGGAGGCTCACGAACAACTGCTACGTGAGAGAGCAAAAGAGAAGTCCAACACAGAATATGCATGGTTGACAAAACAAAATCAAAAGAATGAAGAAAATCGAGAAAAATCAAATAAGTGATGTTAACAAAGAGGAAGATGTAGAAATAATTGTGGACAATACTCAAAAGAGCAACATGAGAGCTCTTCATAATCGAGAGATGGCAGTGGCAGAAACTCAAAATGGAGTGGTGGTCGATCTAGTTCTAGTGCTGGTATGAAGAATATACAGTGTTACAAATGTTGCAAATATGGTCATTATGTTGCTAACTATTGGAACAAAGAAGAAGAAGCAAATGTCGTACAAAAGAAAGACTCGGAGGATGAAGTATCATAAATGGTGACCACGACGAAATTAGTGGAGAATTTTGGTGAATCCTGGTACTTGGATACTGGTTGTTCGAATCACATGTCATTTCAAAAGAGTTAATTCGTCGATTTCGATGAAAATATTAAATCGAAGGAAAAATTTGCAGACACTTCGATAGTGAACTATGAAGGAAAAAGTAAAATATTATTAGAAGAAGAGATGACAACTCTTCAATAATTTTGGATGTGTTTTATGTTCCAACCCTAAAGCACAATCTACTGAGTATTAGACAACTACTTCAGAAAGGGTATTTAATATATTGAAGATCAAGACAACAAACATTGAGAAATCTTGATAAGAATGAGACATAAATTTTGAAGATACCTCTGAGCAAGAATAGAGTTTTTCGAGTTGATATTCTAGTATCAATTGGTCGTGACATTTGATGTATGGTCATCTTGGCTTCAATAATTTGAGCTAAATTATAGAGAAGAAAATGGTGGTTGGATTGTCTCAAGTCCAAAAGTGTAAAGATATATGTGAAAATTGCATGACAGAGAAACAATCTAGAAACCCATTTAAGGTGTGCATCGAGATTAGAAGTAAAGATGTATCGGAAGTTATCTACACCGATGTGTGTGGATCCTTTGATGTTCTTTCATTAGGTGAAAACAAGTATTTTGTGACGTTCATCGATGAATATAACAAGATGTAAATGTACTTGCTCGAGGAGAAACCAAAGGTGTTTAGTCACTTTAATTTTAAATTGATGGTTAAGAAATAAAGTGGTAGAGTTATCAAAGTATTAAGATAAGATGGTGTTGGTACAATAATGGTGATTTTGCATCACTCTACAAGGAGAAAGGTATTATGCATGAGATAGTACTTTCGTACACACTACAACATAATGAAGTTGCGAAAAAAAGAAATCGAACGATTTTAAATATGGATAGAAATATGTTGAAGACCAAAGGCTTGCCACATTCATTTTGGGGAGAAGTGATATTGTTAGCCATATATATCTTGAGTTAATGTCTAACGAAGACAGTAAAGGAAAAAACACCAAAGGAAATACAGTATGAGAGAAAGTCAAATATAAAACACTTGAGAATATTTGGCTCGATTGCATGGAAGCATGTTCCAGAGGAGAGAAGGAAGAAACTCGATGACAGAAGTTAATTATGGTAGGATATCATTTAACTTATACGTACAAATTGTATGATCCTATCAAGAAAAAGATCATCGTCAATAGAGATGTTGTTAATGAGAAGGATTGTTGGAAATGCGTTTTGATGGAGGAAAATCGAAGTATTAACTTTGATGACTCAGGTGATATAGAAATTAAAGGCAATGATCGATTGGTTTCTGAAATTGAAGGTGGTGGAAATCGATCGACATAAAAAATTGAAGGGAGTTGGAATCTATCGAGATTTGAGATTAAAGGAGGAAATTGATCGAGTTCAGGAATCGAAGGAAGGAGAAATCAACCTACAAGATCGATTAGAACATTAGTGAGACTCAATGATTATGTGATCAATATTGATGATACTATCACAACAACTTGATAGATAATTGGAGAAATAGAGGACAAGACTGATCTTCTACACCTAGCATTGTACACTGATGTTGAGCCTAAACCAATTTTCTTTGAAGAAGCGATCGAGGATTCCAAGTGGATCGAAGCCATAAAAGAGGAGCAATTGATAATCAAGAAGAATAAAACATGGGAATTAACTTATCTTCCAAAGAATCAAAGGTCAATTGGAGTGAAATGGATATACAAGACGAAATTAAAACCGGATGGAACAATTGCAAGACATAAAGCTAGACTTGTGGGGAAAGACTTTCTACAAAGAGAAGGATTAAACTGAAAAAAGTGTTTGCACCCGTTATCAGGATGAAGACAATAAGCACTGTTATAGCTCTTGTTAGCTATAAAGGGTGGCAGATGCATAAAATGGATGTAAAATCTGCATTTTTGAATGGTGAATCGAATGAAGAAGTTTATGTTACACAATCACTAGAGTTTGTGATTACTAGAGAAAAATAAAAGGTTCTTAGATTAAAGAAGACGTTGTATGGCTTGAAATAGACCCTAAGAGCCTGAAACACTAAAATTGATGGTTGTCTTCAACAACAAGATTCTTGAAATGTAAAGTCAAGTATGAGATTTACTCGAAGATCGAAAGAGATGATGTGTTAATTGTTTGCATATATGTTAATAATTTGTTTATTATAGGCAGTAAAATTACTTTGATTGATGATTTTAAATGAAGGATGCAAGATCAATTTGAGATGATCGATCTATGGAAGTTGTCATATTTTCTGAAAAATGAATTCATTGAAGGAAAAAAAGGTTTTTTGATTCACCAAAGTAAATATGCTAAAGAAGTGTTCAAAAAGTTTAGTATAAATGAGTGTAATGCAACGATTACACCGGTTTAGACAAATTTGACGCTTGACAAAGATGAAGATGAGAAGCCTGTAAATACTACAATTTACAGATAGATAATTGGGTGCTTAAGATATTTGTGTTTTATTATACCGAATATCTGCTTTGTTATTGGGTTGTTGAGTATATTTATGGAGAAACTCAAAACATCTCATCTTGCATCAACTAAGAGAGTTTGAGGTATATTAAAGGGACGATTGATTTAGGTATTCTATTACCAAATGCTACACATCATAATGGAGAAGAATTGGTTAGATATTCTGAATCTGACTGAACTAGGGATAAAGTTGGTTTTAGAAGCACATAGGTTGTGTATTCATATTAGAAATATCATCGATTTCATGGTGCTCAAAGTTACAACCTTTTGTGACACTCTCCTATTGTGAAATTGGATACATACATGATTGCTACTTTTATCAAGCCTTATGAATTGAGAGTTTGGTGAATCGAGTCCTTGAAAGACCAAAGAAGACTATGACACTAAAGATTGACAACAAGTCAACTATCAATTTAGTGAAAAATCCAATTCATCATGAGAGAAGCAAACATATTGGACTAAGATTTCATTTCATTAGAAATGAATTAAGGAAGAAGAAGTTGAGGCTTAAACACTGTGACATGAAGGAGCAGTTAGCAGATATTATGGAGAAACCTCTGAATAATAATCAAAGGTTCGAAGAATTAAGAAAGAACTTGAAAGTTAAATCGATAGATGGATTAGGGATTATGTTAGATGATAATTCAACAATATTTACTACAACTTAGATATTTTAAAAATTAATATACTATTTTTGAATCCATTTTTATCTAAAAGATTTTTATCTTCCAATTACTACCCTAAAATCATAACACATATTAATATCATAGTGTAATAAATTTAGATTTAATCCCTGTAATTAAAATGAGTAAGTTTTGATTTCAGTTTATGAATTTTTTTATCTCTCTAAAAACTAACCACTTTTAATCTCTAATATTTGTTACTAATTAACTATTTTATGGTTGAAAAAGAAGATTAAATAGTTATCCTAAGTGACAAATTACAATTGTTGCATAAAATTATAATTGTTGCATAAAATTACAATTGTTGAAGAAAATTTCAAAATGATATTCTTTATTTACCTATTTAATAGTCTTTTTTATTTTATAATTTATTATCATAATTCTAAAGATTATAGATGATTGCGCTTATATTTAAATGGCTTTATTACTTGACAAGAAAGCTACTTTATGACCATTTTCTTAATCATATTTACTTTACATTATATATTCATTTAAAAGTAAATATTATATTAACTTTGGTTAATTAGACTAACTTATGAATATTATACAAAAATTTACATCATAACTTTAAGACACTCCTACAAATATTCGTTATATTTATTACTATTTTCAATTTGTCTCATCTTACATAAACAATATAACATTCTTATTCTTATATTTTCTTTTAAAAGCAAATTCATCTCCAATAATAATAATAATAATAATAATAATAATAATAATAATAATTATTATTATTATTATTATTATTATTATTATTATTATTATTATTGCCATAAAGATAATCCAGTGAGTTACATAACTCATTTCAATCTAGTCTATTTTTATAACACAATTAATAGCATTTTTTTTTCATCACATAATATAAATAAATGCTTGTATCAAATTTAATTATGAAGTTATGAAAATTACTCAAGTGAAATTATCCAGTAATTTTGGATTTTACTCATGATAAGAAAAAATAATCAATAAAATTAACGTGTTTGTAGTTTTGACCTGAAAAAAAGGATAGTGCAAATATTAAAAGTATAAAACCAATATATTGAGTATTTCAATTAAATAAGTCTAGTAAAATAAATGGAAGAAGTGTTATTAAGGATCGTATTATTTTAGTTTGAAGATGAACAAAATGAATTGGCTAAGAACATTGTATAATGTAGAAATCTTACCTGTTCAGAATCATTTGGCCCACTGTTTCGATACCCACAGTCACGCTGGTTTATGCTCTGCTTTGCTTGCACCCTATCAAACGAATCGAACATCGAAAAAAAGAAGAAGAAAAAAAAAAGAAAAAAGATACAAAAGCAAATCAAAGTTTAGTTTGCCAAGTTTGTATAAAAAGGCTTTTCCCACTTATCCCACCTTCCACCAATCTAATTCTATTCTATGTGTACTTCAAGTACCTTCCACCATTTCCCTCTACACCATTTTGCCCACTCTTGCCAACAATCCAACTAGAACACACAGTTTCAGTCCTCTCAAAAATGAATAGAGGAGCAGGCATTTTTTTGTGTCTCTTGCTTGTGGTCATGGATATCACAGCTGGGATTCTTGGCATTGAAGCTGAAATTGCACAAAACAAGGTATGCTTCAAGCTAGTTAATTAATTCTCTTGGTACATTCAAGAAAATGTTTTTGTTTTCAAGTTTCTATGAAGACGCAATAGTTGTTTTAGCTCTTAACCAATTAAACAGGTTAAGCACTTGAGATTGTGGATATTTGAGTGTAAAGATCCAAGCCATAAGGCCTTCATGCTGGGGTTGGGTGCAGCAGTGCTTTTGGCATTAGCTCATGTTTTAGTGAATTTGGTAGGTGGCTTCAGTTGTCTTTGCTCTCAACAAGGGCTTGATAAGGATTCTCCTAATAGACAACTCTCAATGGCTTCTCTCATTTTAACATGGTAATGTCTCAATGCCTCCACTACTGTTTTGGAGAAAAGAAACATGAAATGTATAGATTGTAAAATTAAGAGAGAAACAAAGAAATTTGAGATTGTAGCCAGGAATATGGTGTGGTGTGAATTGTGTTTATACCCTTGTTTTTATTAATCTTCTTGCAATTGTTTGGTTGATCAGGATTGTGTTGGCTATTGGATTGAGCATGCTGGTGATAGGGACTTCATCAAACAACAAGTCAAGTGGTTCCTGTGGTTTCACTCACCATCACTTCCTATCCATTGGTGGAATTCTGTGTTTTGTGCATGCCCTATTCAGTGTTGTGTATTACGTTTCAGCCACTGCCTCTTAATTAGCGATTAAGATAACTGAACTTTGAGGCCACTTCTGCTTTATTGTGCCTTTTTCTAATGTTTTGCTTTACCAAATGTGTACTAAGTTAGATCAAACAAAAAAATGCAACCATTCTTATTTATCTACTAGCATGTATATTTTATTAATTGTAGTTAAACTTGGTTACAAACAGCAAATTAATAACAGCATGTTAGCATGGACAAACAGTGACACAATTAGACCAAAGAAGAAGCTTTGTTTCTACACCATTGTTTGACACTAAAACCACATAATATAATTTAAGAAATGAAGAAGAACATCCTAATGGAACGCCACCATTGTTTTCCTAATGTTTCTTCTGTATCAAAAATAGAAAGAAAACAGATGAAAATAAAAATTTTCTGCTTTGTAGATTTGAGGAACTTTATTTCTAGTTATATTTTCAACTTTCTCTACATCGACAAACAACGTAGTATGAGATAAAATAACAGAATGCAAATAGAGAGAAAGAAATGAATAATTTAGTGATAAAAAGATTGGTTGTTATGCACAATTGACTATAATACCATATAGCAAATAATCCGAAGATCTGATTTTATTGATTTTGAGTGAAGTACACGCAAGATATACATAGATTGAGTTTTTGTTATATAAACATAAAAAAGATAATATGGTTATACAATAAAATATTGTTATCTAAATTGAAAGATGAACTAAAGTGGTTGTGTATAATAAGAGAACTCTTAGTTTCAACAAAACAACCCTGCTACAAAAGCTGACATGGCGGACATACATGTTAGAATTGGTTCTCTCTATTAAAGTTGTCCCTTTTAACAACTCACCATCGTTTATACTTAGTTTATAGTAAATTCCTTCTTTTGAAATTCACCCTTCAACTTTGTCCTGCTTTTGCATGCTTGAGAAATTGCAATTCGTATACTCCCTCCCTCTTCTTCGTCATACTGAAAAATAAAATCTTGTTAACTAGAAAATAAAAAAGTAATATCTAATTTAGAGCAACATATTTCTAATTCAGATCAGGGAGTGGGGCTGTTATCTTTGATGGAAAATGGCTAAAACACAAGTAATGCATCTCATAGTAGTTAGCAGCAGCTACTATGACGATAATGATTCATATTAACACCCCGTAATTTCTCTTATTGGTATAATATTTGTAGCACTGTATAACAAATGGTTCTTATGTAACTCCAGATTAAAAGTTTGTATTAAGTATTGTTTTGGGTATTATGGAATAAATCTGTGATTTTTTTCTTTTTCATTTTCTGGGTAGATGAACAATTTGGATGAACATGAAACATTTCTATATACAAAGAACCTGTAAAATTTATTCGGTGTGGTGATAGTGAGATTTTGTATAAGAAAAAACTTGTGCGAGGCTTCGAGCTAAATCAACTATAACTCCCTTTGCACGTCTTCGTTCCCCTTTGATCCCAACTTGTATGTTGTTTCGCAATTCCTTCCTTCTTTTCCATTTTCTCTTTAGTTTACTTTTAGTCGGAATATATACGTAATATAATAGCAATTATGTAATCAAGAAAGGCAATAACCTCACTCTTGCTTGAATCTGTTTCCTTGCACCATGGATATGGCTCCAATGGTTCGGTTGCTTCAAGAAGCACCTCTAATGGAATCTTTGGCTCTGATCCTATGAAATAACAATACCTCTCTGGATCTGGACACTGACCCTGTAAGTTTTTGGCAATAAGGGATAGCCCTTTGATTATACACTTCAAACGACAAAACAATGTTATCTTTCATTAAATGCAGTAATGCTGCTTACCAGAATTGCATGCATCTTTCTTACAAAGGCTTTGAATATATCAAAGTATTTTTGCTGCATTAACTCTTTTGATAAACGGAGGTATGTCAAGCCATACAATTTTGATCTTGGATGGTCCCGATTGCTCGGTCTAGCATTTAGAAGCATCTGGTTATAAGCTACAGGGTCATATCTTGCAAGTGCATTTTCCCCTGCAACTTCAAGGTTCTTCATCCAGCCTGCCCTAAGGACCTGCATGCAGGATTATGTAGGTGGTGGCTTACAAGACAAAGTATGCATTAATCATTCTCTATTGACAACTTGATGACACATATTATATTGTGGATAACTTCGTAAACTAGCTCTCTTTATTCTGTGGAGGAGGAATAGGATTGGGATTGAAATTGAAATTGAAATAAATTACCTGTTGGACAAGTTCCTGAGCTCCACTTTGGGCCTCAACTTGTTGCTCATCTCAAGACAAGTAAAATTTAAGATAGCATTGTGTCGGGAAAGCATCCTTGCTATGGGTCTGTATCCATCTCTATTATATAAGTTGTAATATCCTGAAGTAAGCTCTGCAGCATGGCTTTCTGTTTTAAACCACCAACGGATTCCAGCAGCCTGGTTTAGAAGAAAATGTCAGTTGATTTATACGGAAAAAGAACCAGTTAGTTTATCATATATGCATTTTAAGACCCAAGATAATTAAACATTAGAACTTAGAAATATCGAAATGTGTTGAATACAGTGAAAACTAGTTATAGGTTAATCTCATTTGTGTGTAAAATACACTTACGATAATATATTTATAGTGAAGAGTAATACACGAAAATAGGACATATGCACTTAAATATGATAATTATAAGATATTGTTAGGTAGTGTGACTAACATTATTTAATAATATCGAACCTTCTATCAAGTTGGGACATATAAATCATATGTATTAAGTTTGTTCCAAATATAATTAATTATAGGTCTCCGTAAAGACTGGTGAAAATATTTGTTAACTGTTCACTTGAGTTAACAAACTTGGTCTTAATGTCTCTAGATACAATATTGTGACTAGACTGGTGAAAATATTTGTTAACTGTGCACTTGATTTAACAAACTCGGTCTTATAATATCACTTGAGTTAGGTATTGTGACTAACAATATTTAATAATATCGAACCTTCCTCTCAAGTTGAGACATATAAATCATATGTATTAAGTTTGTTTCAAATATAATTAATTCTAGGTCCCTGTAAAGACTGGTGAAAATATTTATTAACTGTTCACTTGAGTTAACAAACTCGATTTTAATGTCTCTAGATACAATATTTTCTAGAATAAAATGAAAGTCAACTTCAATGTGTTTGATCATTTCATGAAAGACAGAATTAGAGTTAATATGAAAAATAACATGATTGTCATATATTAGTGTCATTTAAGTAAAATCTTCAAATTGTAACTTTTAAAGTAATTATTTAAGTCAAACATGTTCACAAGTGGCTGAGGTCATAAATTTATATTATGCTTCTACACTAGATTTTGTCACGACACTTTATTTCTTGTTCTTCAAATATATCAAGTTACCTACAATAGAAACATAACATCCAAAAGGAGATATTCTATAAAAAAGAGATCGTGCTCAGTTAACATATGAATAACAAACAACTTTAGTCTGTTTATTTTAATCATATAACAAACTTTTTCCAGAAGATCCTTTAAACTTTAATATATGGATGACTACATTGCAATTATCTGTACATGGAAAATTAAGAAATTGACCCACCACACTGACTGCAAAGGAATGTTAGGACGAGTAACAATAAGATTGTTTAATTTTCCAACTAACCTTATATACTTTTCAAGATCTAAAAGAGGCTTCCCCTTATTGGGTAGGAATTTGGTATTGAGATACATGGGTGCGTCAACAAATTTTAAAGTTCATCAACTTAATTTCCTCTAAAATATCCAATGAATTTTTTTGAGATATAACAATACCATTATTGGATTATGCTACCTTAATCCCTAATAAATATTTAAGTTTGGCAAGATCTTTAGTCTGAAAATAGTGACAAAAGTGTGGTTTCATTTAACAGATGTCATGGTGATCACTCCCTGTAAGAATAATATTATTAAATAGATATACCCAACACTTGAGTGATGGCAAAAGACTAAATGATCTATCTCACTATGAATCATACCAAACTATTAAACAACATTGCTAAATTTTTTAAGCCAGGTCTTAGGAGACTGATTTAGGCCATATAAAGATTTGTAAAGACGATATACTAATCCAGAAGACTCCCCCTGAGCAACAAAACCTAGAGGTTACTTCATATATATTTCTTCCTACAAATCTCTATTAAGAAAAATATTTTTAACATCCAATTGGTAAAGATGTCATTGTTAAAGAGTATCACCATAGTCCAAATAAAAAATTTGTGTGTAACCTTTAACCATAAAACGAGCTTTGCTGGAGATCTTATTTTTGTGGGTATTTAATTAAAAATCATCCCCTCTCAAAACAAAAAACGTCATAATTTATTGTCATGCTTTCATTTGCACCCTATCAAACAAATCGAACATAGGGGAAAAAGAAGAAAAAAATGAAGATACAAAAGCAAATCAAAGATTAGTTTGCCGAGTTTGTATAGAAAGGCTTTTCCCACTCATCCCACCTTTTACCAATCTAATTCTATTCTATTTATACTTTAAGTACCTTCCACCATTTTCCTCTACACCATTTTGCCCACTCTTGCCAACAATCCAACTAGAACAGAGAGAGTTTCAATTCTCCCAAACATGAATAGAGGAGCAGCCATATTTTCGTGTCTCTTGCATGTGGTCATGGATATCACAGCTGGAATTCTTGGCATTGAAGCTGAAATGGCATAAAACTGTTGTAAAATAGGGGTATTACAAAACCTATAGCGCGTCCCACTAACCTAGAAGTGCTCCACTCTCCCATGTTTCTAGAGCACAACCACCCATGATGTTGAATACAGAGATGAGTTTGTTGCTAATACTAAACCTATAAATATACTACTTCACACTCCTTCAAACACAGTTTTATTGATCCTCTCTTCTCTCCTTTTTCATTCCTTTTACACTAGGTTTATTTACTCTTTTAAGATTTTCTTACTAGTTTTTGAGTTCCTTGGAAAATTCGAAAAGTTTTTGTTATCTTAAGGGACTTGCACAATACTCCGTGGATAAGTCCTCAAGGACAGTGATTATACACACCTCAAGAATCAAGTTTTGTTCGTATCCTAGTGAGTGAGACATGACCATGAGCAATGGCAAGAATCCACTTGGAGGACCTATGACAAGGGTTAGAGCAAGGGAAACTAAGGAAACTCTTCAACAAGTATTATCCATATTATTTGAATACAAGCTTACATTTCAAGGAGAAAATATCAAAGTTGTGAATTGCATAATAGCCCAAATGGAGGAGGACTAATGTGTCACTTTGTTTCAGTCTTTAAGTTTGTTTAAATAATGGTCCAATCCTTTATAAAATTGGCTGACCAAATTATATTTTGAGTTAATTAATTAATAGGCTTTAGTTTGGTTTTGTTTAAGTTGTAATAAGGGCCCAATTGAAAACTTAGGTATCAGCCTTTGGAAGACCAAAAGGGTGCATAGCAGATTGACTTTTTGTTGCCACAATTTTAGTTACAATCAACCATTAAGTAGTTTTAAATTCTTAGGTTAATGAATCATTATTGACATTTATTTACTTCCATTAAGTAGTTTTTCAATTCCTAGATTAATGGATCATTATTAGTAGTTATTTTCCTTTATTGAGTATTTGTAACTCCGATGACAAAACTTCTATATAAACTAAAATATTTTTATCAAAAATAACAAGTTGAGTTTTATTCAGAAATATTAGAGTTTAGCTCTTTTATCTTAGTGAGAATGATTATCCTAAATTCTTGAGTGATTCAAGAACTTTTAGCTGTATTAAAGGACTTTCATATTCTTTATGAGTTGTCTCACTTAGGAAGAGTGATTATTTCCTTCGACCTTTCACATTTACCTCTTGTCCTTTCTTCACAAAAACTTAAAAATATCAATTCTGTCCAAATTTATTTCGTGGTCATAACTTTGATTCTACTTATCCAAATTAAGTGTTTCTTGAGCCTAAATTGAAATTTAGAAAGAGAACTTTCACCTTATTTTTTAATCACCTCAATCAGAGTTTTATAACTTGAGATATCGACGTTTCAAAAATACTATCCAACCCTGAAACTTTTATCACTTTCTAATCCACTTTGTCACTAATTTCCTACAAAGTTCTAACCCTAAAGATCCTAAGTCATCCTTTCTATAAATAGGGTTCATATCACCTAGGCCGCATTTACAACAAAAACAAGGTATGCTTCACGCTAGTTAATTAATTCTCTTGGTACATTCAAGAAAATGTTTTTATTTTCAAGTTTATATGAAGATGCAATAGTTGGTTTTAGCTTTTAACCAATTAAACTGGTTACTTGAGATCCAAGCCATAAGGCCTTCATGCTGGGGTGGGCTGCAGCAGTGCTTTTGGCATGAGCTGAGCTTGAATTTGGTAGGTGGCTTAAACTTAGTCAGAAAACACTAATTAAGCATATTATTCTTTTAGAGGCTATTTTTCGTTCTCATACATTAATTATGTTTTAGTTAAATTAATTTAATAACGGCAAATTCAGCATGTTAGTTTGAACAGTGACAATATTAGACCAAATAAGGAAATTGAGTTAAAAATTGAGTTATGTTCGTTTATAAGATTGTCCTGTGTTCCATTTATAAATGTCGATCTAATATTACTTCCATCGCAAAAACCCAACTTAATATAATATAAGAAATGAAGATGAATACCACTTTTGTTTTCCGATCTTCTTCTGTATCATATTAAAATAAGCAAATGCACAGTTTGCCTTCTACAAGCATACCAATAAAATAAAGAAACAGATGAAAAGAAATAAACGTTTTCTGCTTAATAGATTTTAGGAATTTTATTTCTAGTTATATTTTCAATTTCACTACATCTACCCCACAAAAACTATTAGTGAAAAGGAGTCCAAACTGAATTATACAACTGCATTATTTATATTGAAATATTATAAAGACATAATATTTAAAACAATAACTAAGAATTTTTAGACTAATTAACCTAAGTAAAACAATCATTATAACTTTGTTAACTATTGCTCTGATAATAAATAATTATTGTTAAGTATTTACAATTCCTATTTAATAATAATGGCAATAATAAACACTATTAAACATAAAAATTTAAAGATCTTATTTTAAACTATTTTATTACGAATTTTCACTTCCTTTCTTTTTCTTCTTTTTTTTCTTGCTTTCATTTTGCTTTAATCAAGTAGCCAATGCAATGGTATTATTGCAGGAACACATGAGCCATGTCATGAACGATAAAGGCGAGAATATTTAGTGAGGTGTCACTAATATCGTAAATAATACTCAATTCTCAGAAAAAGAATTAAAACTTTATTCTAGTTTAAAGATAAAATAGTATCTTGTTTTAAAACTCATTAATTAAGTAGTCACAAAATAATCCTTTTTTGTTTCTAAACAGATGGTAATAGATGATGATATACATAATATATAATTAAAAGTGGAAAGTGAGATGAGGATGCATGTGGAATTGGAGGTCTCAATCAGACAACCATGATTAATTAATGTATCATGCCACTAAAAACTAATTAACAACCTTTCCTTCTTAATTAAGTCAACATATCTTTCATCACATTAAAACTTATTGAGTAGTCTACAATATTTCCATCAATAGGGTTTGGCTTGCGTTTTAATTTAGATATTGAAAATTAAATAAAAATAAGTTGAAAATTAATTTAATATCAATGTAGTAGTTTTTTTAATTAATTTGTAACACTATATTAAAGGAATATAAACAAATTTAATTGGCGAGAAGTAATCTGACAGAGACCAGTTTCTTTACTTTATTTATTGTTTTTCTTTTTTAAAGGAAAAATTTTCGGCCATGCTATTATGTGACTATCTTGCTGAATTAGGGTGGCATTAATTTTTTGTATGGCTTGACCCTTTATTATGCATCACTTAATTAGACCCATGAACCCAAATCCAGACAATACAGATCAAGCCCACCACTAAAAGCCCATTTCATGCAATTCAAAATCAGGAAATCATGCTCACCAAAATTACGCAAACCAAACACATATCACTGATAAAATACCATGTTCTCGTAATAAATTTCAGAAAACAGTCACCATGAGATAATAAAAAACGGTAGTGATGAAGAAAACTCAAATGGACGTGAAGAAGAAAAAAAAATCATTACAGTAGTTCTCTCTCTCTCTCTCTCTCTCTCTCTATATATATATATATATATATATATATATATATATGTGTGTGTGTGTGTGTGTGTGTGTGTGTGTGTATAAACAGAGAGAGAATCAGCAGTTCTTAGGGGAAAATAAAGGACGAGTAGAGCATGTAAAATAGTTGAGAAATGTAGAAGAGATGAAGCAGGGATCTGCAAAGCATTGTAAATTTAGAATAGTAGTAGTAAAAGGCAGAAAACATTGAATACTTAATTTATGGTATCTAAGTGTGGTGTAACTAAGCTTAAGTACACTAATAGTAATTACTAATGCAAGAAGAAAGCATAGTTGAAGGCGGAAGCTTAGTTGAAAAAAGATTTGGAGGAAGCAGGATCGGTCACGTGTGGGTGCTGGTGCTGCCTCCTCTCGGATAATTTTCTGAGAAGAGACAGCTGTTCGAGGGAGAAAACGCAGAAACCTTGGGAATAAAGCATGGTTTGGGCGACGGGGGAGTTAACGAGCACCTGGAGGAGCTGGGACCGATTCAGCTTCTCGAGATCCACGAATACGGTGCCGTTTTGGCGGAAGGAAGGGGAGGAAGAGGAGGCGTGGGAGGGCATGGACTGGAGCACGCGGAACTGAGCCTGGAGGAACCTCACGTATTTGTAGGCCTCTTCCAGAAGCGTGCCTTGGTCCATTTTCTTGTCCCAGGGCATCAGCTTCTGCAGGCACCGCGTTTTCTCGCTGAGCTTCTGTCTGCGTTGGCGAGCGAGGTTGCTCTGCGGGATCACCGGAGAGTCAAGGCGGTGGCGTTTGGGGTGGGGCTGGTCCGGGGAGCGGAGGTGAGGGAGGCGGTGGAAGGCGGTGGGGTGGTATTGGGGGAAGAATTTGAAGGGTTGAGGGGGTGGTTCGGTTTTGGGGACGAGAAGTTTAGGGGGCTGTGAGGGTTGGGGAATTAGAGTAGGATCGTCGGTTAGGGAAGCCAAGGTGGGGAAGCCATCGGCGAAGAGGGAAGGGTTGAGAGAGAGGAGTGACTGTAAACTGGTGGCGGAAAACATGGGGTCGAAGGAGGAGGCGTCACCGGAATACATTATGATAAGTTAGAGAGAGAGGGAAGTGAGGGGAGGGTAGTGCATGAATGAAATGGGAATAGCATGTATGAGAAGGGATATATGATATGTATATATATAAATATATAAGAGCTTAGTGTGAGAATAGAGAAGAGAAGAGAGAAGAGTGAAATTGAAGAATTATAAAAATGAAATTGAGAGTGGAAGTAACAGGTGGGCGTGGGATGAGAAGAATGGATGATGAAGGAAGGGTGTGTAGGTAGGTACGTGGATGGTGATAATAATGAAGCGTATAAAATGCCAGAGAGAGTGTGACAGTGTGTGCGCGTTGCTTTGTTTGTTTGTTTGTTGTGTCTCCCTCTATTACTATTTTTGGCCGTTTGTCCTTTTCCTAATTATCTGTCACTCTGTTCTTGTCGCTTTTCTTTTCTTTTTCTTCTGTTATGCTTTCAGGAATGGCTTGCATCGCATCGCAACCGTTGCATCTCATCACCATCCAACGGCTAGGATGCTCAATTTTGTTAAGGTTATAGCGCTTCTCTTCACACTGCTAGGGTCCCGTGTTCTTCCATCTTTGCATACTGTCAAATATGTGTGCGTGTGTTAATTATTATTCGGAGAGGACCGGTCATAATTAATAAAACAAGTTGTCCTACATTATTCACACATTCTTCAAATGCGTATATGCTGAATGATAATCATTTTGTTATGATCACGTACTAAATCATAACCGTTATTACATTTAATTGAATTTATGCATAAAGTTTATATTCATGAAACGTGTGGCTCTACAATAAAAAATAAAATCTCAACGTTAATTTGCTTAAAAATAATGATGATCCATGTTACATTGGTGGAAAAGGTTACGAACAAAATTTATGTTTTAATTTAGTTGTTCTTTCAGGTGAAAATAGTTTTTTCTTATATAAAAGGAGTTTTTTTTTTTCATGCTTTATCAGAAACCCAACTGAAAGGACAAATGTTAAAAGAACGTGGCTGCAACCATAAAGACGACGAAACACAATAGCTTCATAAAGGGAGAGAATACAAAAGCATCAAAAGTTAAGGAGAAAAAGTATTATTTTTTAAAAGGCGAATATATGTTTTAAAAATATATGAAACGACATTTGACGGAAATCACATGTTTTTGTGTTTTGTATAACAACTAATCCACAAAAAATACAATATTTTGTTTTCTAGAAAAGTTGGGGAATGCAATTTCTAATAAAATGAAAATTTTTAAAATTACATTACTACAACTAAATAAGAACAAATTTTGTAGAGAGGGTGTATGAATTAGGCTAATTCATATCACGCGTGCTTCCGTGGGTGATAGTGTGGCTTAACACGTGTTTACTTTATTCAGTGTTCCTGTTTGTCCCAATTAAAAGCATATGGAAGCTGCGAGTGCATGCAATAGCAACAATTATTAATCCGTGCCATGCAATCATTTGATTCTGCTTGGTTTGTTGTTATAAAGTGAAGCGATTCATCCGTTCATGCAGCACAATCTCCAGACAAACCCCAACACGTGAATGTCAGATAATGTTCCTAATACCCTAAGCTAAGCTGAAGTTCAAATAGTAATCACTCATAAAAATATATATATCATTGGCAGATAAAGAACCTGATCATATTATTCAACAGTAAATAGTATTTATTAATTTGGACTAACATAAGAAACCATTGTTTCAGGTGTTTGGGTAAATGGATATTCATTCTGATAGAGAAAATCAAATCATTAAAGGATACTCGACTGCCTTCAATTTCATCCTCGTTGATTGTCTGTTTGAAGACTCCACTGCCTTCAATTTCAAATCAGTACAGTCACTCCACACTTGATTAAAATAAGAACACCTGCAGAAACGAGCTACAATGTCTCAACTCTGTTTCTTTCGAGGATTGAAGGAAGTGAAAGCAAGAGAGCATCGATTTGTTTATGGGTAGAAGTTTAGAAATCATGTCTGAATTATAACATAATAAATTATCTTAGTACAACACAATCTCTCCCCATATCTCTTCTTATTGATCTCCCCCTTCCCATGTATTATTATTTGAGGATGATATATATTCATCCCATTAATCTCACCTAAAACCATAAAAAATAGTATAATAATAAATAATATTATATTAAAATATATTAAAAAATAAATTGAAGACAAATGTTTGTTTAAAACGATCATCAAAGTAATTTTTTTCTTATTATTAATAATATTAATAATTTTAAAAGGATCACTTTTTACATTTATTTTTCTTTAATTAAATAATCTACATTTCCACCTACCTGCTTTCTTCCTATTTAATACACTATTAATGACTCTAATGACTCAAACTATGCCAAGTGTTTGACAAAATTATAATCCGAAGCTTACGAGAAAACAATCGAACTTTTTAATGTAGGAAACAAAATAAGAAACAACAAAAGTTACATTCAAAGTAACTTTATATATATACACACAGCTTAACTAGCTATAATGGAAGTTTATCTCAAAGAAAAACATCAATTTGATGACTGACTCCACTTATAAATGAATTAACCGAGGAGATATATTAAGACTTCAAGATAGTATATTTTTTTATCTCTTCCTACCACATCATACATCCTCTATCACACTGACATTTCACTTCCCTCCCTTTTCTCTTCCAGATGTTTAGTGGGGGTTATGTAAGCTTCCATCCAAAAATGGACACCTTGATAACAATTAGCAACTAACAATTTGCAATTGTAAAGAACTATACAGGTAAAAAACAGTTGAATCTGGGTTTGTTATTTAAATTTAAAAATTATTTTAAAGGTCTGCTTAAGATAAAAGTTAAAGCGCCTACAAACCTCATTGCAGCCGAAAAAGCACACAAAACAGACACGAAAGGACAGTGTCAGAGATCATCATTTCTCCCTCCGTAATGTTGGTTATCAGCTACTGGTGACGAAGAGTATCAGGTGCCGGCTCAGTACAAAAAAGTGCAGACAACATCCCCAATGGGACAACCTAATAAAAGCAACGACGTCACCTTCATCATTCTTCATTAAACTCAGGCACTGTATGTTTCCAAAGCGAACTCGATCCGAATATTTTAAGGTATCACTCGGGGGATCATTCACGGGGAAAATTACGATGCACGTTTTAGCTTATGAAAGATGAACACACAAATGACTGGAAATAACCTTTCTTTTTCCTCCTAACTATCATTTCATATTACATAAATGTAAAAACAATGCCCTACAATCAAATGAATTACTAATCAATGGCCAACAAAACTGTACACAAGAATGACAGAAAAGCGGTACAAGGAATGACACGCTTTTGGATTAATAATTACAGACCCCCCACGCTAAAAACAGGCAGGCAGCTCTGAACGATGAACCATTCCACGTCTAAAAGTAGGTGCTTTAACGAGCGTGCTCTGACCAAAATTCTCCAAACCATGCAAAATTTTAACGGTCCCACATGGCTTGGAATATGGCAGGTCTGTGCTTCAACCAATGAACCATCTCCCTGTCCAGTGCAGAGTTATTTACTACAGCATCTAACATTGGGCTACCAAAGAATTTCGGGAAACTTTTGAATGACCATATCCGGTCTTTGGGCCAAGATCTCTGCGGCTGCTTCTCCTGAATAGACAAACAAAATACACGATCGATTAATTGCCAAAGTCACACTAAATCACAAAGAACATATCCTGGCTATCCTGTCATTCCTAACTGTTCAAATAAACAAACTACTTAGATAAAGGATTTGAATCTGATTGAAGCTCAGAGAGGCTTATTATCGCCATGGATAGCACGAGAAAATTGCTGAGAAGAGGTTTTGTATGGACAGCATAAGATGGCATCGAGGTTGTGGATGCGGATGCGGTTAATTGACTCGAGTCTATGAAATTCTTTGTTTCAGTTGATATATGCCCATCATTTTAACATTCCCTCAGTATCTCACCTAATAGAACAAGTCTTATGTTATTCATCACTTCAACATCATTTTGCCTACTGGGATAAAACTTCTTATTGTTAACACAACCCCAACATTTTTGGGTAAACTTTACCCTATGGAAGACATTTTCTAATTACTATTTCATATTGGCTAATTAGGATTAAAACAAAATAACAGAATAACTTAAAAGAATATATCAGGAAAAAAACTAACCATTCTAGCCAGCATAGATCTGACAGTCCTCGGACCATAAACACAATGTCGAGAGGGTTTCTGAGCCTTGGCATAAAAGGAACTGGTGTCTGGTAAAGACAAGCAACCCCTACTAGCTCTAGCCAGGCTCCGATCTGGATCTGCATTACTCTGGTTATGCCAAAATATCAGCTGTCCTAAACAATAATTTTCACCATATATCTTTCGATACTCCTGAAATTCTGCTCCCAACTTGTTAGTGTACTTGGGACCTAAGTCAAGTGGACTAATATAGACAGGTGGTGATGTAATTGTTTGATAATTCTGCAACATAAAAAATAAAACTGTTTTCAGATTGCTAATTTATAGGTTAAAATGACAAGAAAAAACTAACGTACCAAGTAGATGAAGTATTGGCAGTAGAGAAGCATACCTGTATCCTAAAGAAGTACTTGGTATAAGCATAAATATGGATTAAGTCAGCAGCAGCATCATGCCGACATTTATATGTACAAGGAAGATTTCGGACCTCATCCCTCAACCTTTGAAAATACGAGAAACTTAAATTGTAAATATTGTAAATTCCATCAGGTTAAAATAAAAAAAAAAAAAAGACCAAACTACCATGTACGAACCACATACCATAACAAAGACTTCCGAAGCTCTTTCTGAATATCTACTGCATTTGAAGGATCGTGAGCATGAATTTTAAACTTAAGATCATTCAAGATGTCTTCTTCAACATGAGGAGCAATGCACTGAAGAAGCTCCTCAACAAATGAGCCCTCACCTTTCCAGAGGAAGGAAACAGTTGCTTCAGGACTGAGCTTCTCAAGTGGTGGTGGTGCTTTACGTGGGTCGCCAAAAATACATCTCATAACATACCTTACCTGTAATACCCCAGCAAAAATTAGCATCGTCTACAAACTACAGAAAGCAAAATTAATGTAAAATTAATGATTCATAATGAGATAATACTGCAGCACAGAAAAAGTTGACATTTATCGGGTTCAAAAAACAAAGATTTAATGAAATGCTCGACTTCTTACATCAGGAGATATAATACTATTGCCTATCTAGAAACATCCTTACGATGCACAGCTTCTCTATCTTAATACTATCAGCTTGATTGTTAACAAGCCATGCCAAAAACAGTGTTTACTATTTCTACTTTATGATCCTGTTTAAATGCTAAGTGTTGTTCTTCTCATCAACATTAATAAAATAGAATAACAAAAAGAGGCAAATATAGATAGCTAAGAGCATAATCACCTTATCAAGAGTGACAGCAAGATTCTGAAGCCTTTGGTTGTAAACACCCTCAGCCTGAGTCATTCGAAAAATGGGATAAAGAGAAAAAAATATTTGGAAGAAAAATGATAATACAATATTACAAATGTCATATCATGATAATAAAGAACACAAAGGAAAGTACAGAGAGAGAGTGCACACCTGAACCTCGGCATCACTCCTTTCTACTTCAAGACATATATCTGAAAAATACTTTCTTTTTTCTTCCAGATTATGCTTTAGAATTTCTTCAGGAAGTTTTGTTCTTTCAAAATTGATGAATCTCACCTTCACCATAGCATTTATGTTAGGGAAAATTGATACATAACCACAAAAAAGAAATACATTGGAACACAGATGAAGGCACATACAAGGCGAGCCGCATAAGCAACAAGCCAATCTGGCAGGCCTCCAAGCAAACAACTGCCCAAACCAGCTCTTCCCAGATCAGTATAGTCCTCTTCAGACACAGAATTTAATTCACAAGCTTCCAGCATCAAATAATGACGATCAAGTATTCCATGAGAGTCCTTCAAAACCTACAGACAACAGATTCCAGTCAGCAGATAAAGTAACCAAATTCTGAAAAACTTAGGGTCACAGAAACTCAGAATTCATGCAAAAAATGCTATCAAGTATCAGCATAAAAGCATGTCCAGTAATTGCACTGAACAATTAAGAATATTTTTATGACTCCTTTTGATTTTTCTTAGCACCTATAAACTGAAAATTTCATACAAGTCCAAACCTTTTGGAAAGCCCCTTCACCAGTCAAATTCAGATAGCTCCCACGGCATACTTGGCTTCCACACAGACAAACGGATGCTTCATACTCCTCCTTGCTCTACAGTGAGATGAAGGTTTATTAGACAAAGATATACAAAGGATATATTTATCTCATGGAATAAAATAGATAGAAGTCAGAAGGTAACAGTACAGACCTCTGTTACAGAATTGTAGTCGAAAGTGATCTCCTCACCATGTTGAATCTTACGAACACTGTAAATACCAATTTGATATTGACCATCAACAGCAGTAACCCTGAAAAAACAGTGAAAATAATAACAGATAATTACCAGAAATGATATCACAATTTAAAATTAAAAATCGTAACATACGGAGTGCAACCTAGTAATATAATCCTCATCTAAACTAAATAATCCCGGACAAACTTGAAATAAAATATAAAAAATGTGTCAATTGATTAAATCTTTCAAAACATAAAGATTTAAACACTATTTCTATCACGTAGGCTTAGGCCCTCAGCACCATTCTAGCAACATCCAAGCCAAGGGACGAGAAATGGAAGCTCTGGACAAACTAGCTCAAATTTCTTTTCAAAATCAACCTAAATAAATTTTACTTCCACTGAAAATATTAAATGCGTAATTTCAACTTAAATGTCATTAGTAACATCATTTGCAACAGAATATCCCCTACTAGCACTATCTTAAATGAACAAACACAAATATCTCTTTAAAACTTTGATAAGATATTTTAGTCTTCGTTGTCATTCTGAAAGCACTTTTAAGTCACTTGTGTTTGTTGCAATTCTACCAAAGTGTTTTCCCCTAAAGCCCATAGAAAACAGACACATTGTAGAACAAAACAAGACATGGGTAAAAGAAGAAAAAAAAAAGCAACAACTTTGCATGTTGACTTAAATCTGAATCCGATAGTAATAATGCCTTCGCATTTATGTTCCTTTTAGCAAAAAAAACAAGTGCACTTTTGGTCCTCTAGTTGTGCAGTCTCCTCAAGTTTATATTTCTATTAAATTAAGTCTATTATTAAAAATAAACACATTAGATCCTCTTGTCCATTTTGTTAACATAAAATCCTCAAAATCTTAAATTTTACACAAGTAATTGGGAAATTTCAATTGATATGGGAATATATAATAAATTTCAAATTTTGGAAGCCAAAAATTTAGTTGAAATTTGATGTTAGCGTTTCATGAGAAAATTTTGGGATTACTTTTTATGAAATTTGATATTTTGGCTGGTGTGTTGTTAATGAATGAATATATAAAACAAATTATTCAATTTTTGCGATATATTTTTAGTAAAGAGATGAGAATTTCAGTTTAAGTAGAGAAGGAAAGTAATGAACCAATTTCTAACAATTTAAAAACCAGAAAGATTAAGGACTTGTTTGATTTCATTTTGTTTTTTAGTTTTTAAAAATCATTTTAGAAATCAATTTTAAAAAATTGTTTTTGAAAATAAGTTGGCAAAAAAAAAAAATCTTGTTTTATAACGCCCACAAGAAGTCGTGACAAAAATTAGAAAATAATTTTGATAATTTTATATTGATGAAAATAAGTGATTTGAAAACATTGATACCTATTAATGAAAACAGAAAATCAAAACAAAAAACACCTTAGTGTCAGTTTTGGTTTTTTAATTTTTAAAAACTAGAACAAAAATTGTTTTTAAAATATGTTTTAACAAGATTTTTAGTTTTTAGAAACAAAAAAGCATAGAGTTTGAAAATTAGAGCGACCCAAAACACACATTAACAATAATAAAGGGTCAAAAAATTCAATTGAACCTAGTAAATAATATAGATCTATTAGATAATGAATGGAAAGGGGACTATGACACAATCTAATTGAATTTAACATGCTAAAAACAATATTTGGTCATCAGCAACTACCATAATATGCACCCTAAAATAACAAACAATTTTTTTTTACAAACAGGAGAATTAGTACCAGGAGCTGAAAAGTCAGCAAATAACAACATGAATGAGAAACAACTTACTTGGCTTCACAGTTAGGTCGGCAAGAATGACATATTCGACTGGCATAATTAGCCATATGCATGGCATCTACGACAACCAAGTCATACCCATAAGCATCACCCTATCATGAAAGTTGTAGATTGATCAGTAGAATGAAATGAATGAATCATATGAAGTTAAACATCATAACATCAGTAATTTGAAGGTGGCACCTTTGGCCTCTCAAGGTAGATGTTGTAGAATTCTGGTGCTGGATCTTTACTATCTTTCTGAAGAGATCGAATCCCATCTTGTTTCTCAAACCACTTCCACACAGGATAAACCTATGAAAACAATGACAAAACAATAAAGCCTCGCCAATATTAAATCATATAAGCATATGATGCTACAGACTAAATTTCTAAACTGGACGGCAACTTGTACATATGATAAACTGAACAAGAGGAACACACAACCCAAAAGAACACCTATACCTACAATCATTGTAAAAGAAACATTTTATACAAAACCTTAGATTGCAACTCCAGAAATAGTTCAAATACCCGAGGCTAACTAGAAAGTCAGGATCTAATAGGCCACTATTTGTTATAAGCACAAATCAGAAGAGTAAATTATAGAATACTTCATATGCTGCACGCTCAAAAGGTAGAAATATCTAGATTTTTAGAGAAAAAATCATAACTGGTTTAATCAAAATAAAGAATACAGAACAAATCGAGTATGCAGAGTTTTCTATTTTCTCAAGTGAATGGTAGTTGCTTAGATTTTTGACATGTTTCATATGTAAAATACAGAAACGTATAGATTGGTTCTTTTTGCAGAGAATAGATCAAGAGCAGTTTAACCATGTTAAGAGATACAGAACAAATCATGAGTTGGCACAATCTTCTATTCAGGCTTTAGATGGATCATTGCCTAATAATTTAACATTACAATGGAAACCTGAATTTAGCCCCATAGTAGGAGCAAGCACAACGAATCGCAAATTTTAATAATCAAAGAAAGAAGTTTCATGGGTAAAATTCCATTAAGACATACCTCTCCCAAAAACTCCACAACAAAATCATCTTCTGCAAATCCTTCTTCCTTGTTGCAAACAACACCAAGCCCCTGCATGATCCATCCCAACAATTGATATCATAGCCATGAAAAATAGCAGTGAGAAGACAACGCACTAGAAAAATAGTGGAAGGTAACTGTTAAATTGTAGTTAACTAACAAAGAAAGGATATACCTTTCTATAAGCTACGTATTTGTCATCTGGCCGACTGTCCATAGCCTTTAGAATACCTTGACACATTTTAACCATTCTTGTATCACAATCCTCCTCAGCATGCCTTTTAATATCTTCAACAATAGGCCGCAATGGGTAGCTCATTGGAGTGCTTCCAGATCCAGTAAAATTCCTACCTTGTTTATTCAATGTTCGAAGGAGTGTATCTTCTATAAACAAATGCTTATCCGGCAGAGTCCAATCTAACTCTTCAGGCATAGAATCAAGCAAAAGATTGTGTGTAAAAGGATCAATTCCATAAACTTCTTGCTCAATAACCTCATGTCCTAGCTGCTTTCTAGGTTTGTAATCTTTCACTTCAGGAAGTTCCATATCTGACTCCTCAGTACCATTCTTTTGTGCACTCAGCTTCTCAGCATAGTCATCTGGTAATGAAACCCTCATCTTCCTTCGCACATCCTCCTCATCAGCTACAATGCAATATTGATCAATGACTTTATATTTCCTGGTAACTGGAGGAACCAGGCTCGCTTTTGTCATGCGAGCACCCCACTCTCGATCATCAGTTATAAAATCCAGCTCTTCCTCAGATGTCAAGTATCCCTCCCCTCTTGACTCCCTACTTAGACTTTCTGAATGTACTTCTCGATCGCTTTCAGTGTCAGAGGTTGTAGTATCAGTGTCACTCTTTCCATCTTCGTAAGACTTATCAAGATCATCATCAGATGTTTCACTCTCAGAGTCCATAGATTTCTTGTTCAACTTTGATAAGCGCCTCCTAATTTCTCTATCAGAGGTATATTCCACATTATCCAAACCATGTGTTCCATTACTCCTATACTTCCTTTCATTCACCAACCTATTCTTCTTATACTTTGACAAAGTAGAGCAGGACACTGCAGGCAAGTCATTGTCCCATGATTTCAGTAGTGCATTTCTGTCATGCACAGATTTAGAACTCTCTTCCAGCCGTGTTGCAAGCTGAATAAACAATGTGATAACATGATTCATGTAACTAGCATCACCCCGATTCTTCACTCTGTAATATTGATAAGAACATATTAAAAAAGTAACATAAATATTGTATGAAAAATACAAGGAAAATGTGGATTGTCAGATGAAACAAACACCCACATTTTGAATGATCCAATAAACATGAGTTAAACGAACAAGTCCATAAACAGAGGCAAAGGTAACATATTATAAGCAAACTTTGAAGATAATTTCAGCATGCAAAACAACTACGACATATGCAAACCCACCAAATCCAGCGTAGATGAAAGATCAATACAAATTCAAAGCAGTCAAGCGTATGTGTACACCTGAGAATCAAACAGCTCCATGGGAAGAAAACACAGCACAAGCATTTTGGCACAAATATGACAAACTAAAGGGTCTTTGTACTCAAAGTCATATAAACTAATAAGCCCTATCATCTTCGGTTCAATGTGTCCAACAAAAAAAAATATAACCCTGGATCAGAAAGAAGAATAATTACCACCTACCAATGAAAAAGGAAAAACGGAAAGAGAACTTACTTTATGGCGTCACGGCACATTCTACTTATGTCCTCTTTCACAGAATTCAACCCACGGCTACTGTAATAACCATTTTTCATTTTAGCTTCAATTTCCGCAACCTATTAAGAAAAATAAGCCAAAAGAAATCATGAGTAACAAAGCAGAACTTCGTGACAGTGACATCAAAAGGATTTTGCACAGTACCTTAGGCACAAAAAAGTCGCAAGAGTTGGTCTTCATAATTTCCCTGAGTCTTGAAGCAAGGAATTCCTCCATCCTCTTATAACCAGTTTCAGATTTCTTGATTGCCCAACGCCTTGTTCGAGCATCCCTAGAGAGAATGGAGGAGGACTTTCTAGCATCATATAGTTTTGACCGCTTGTACAAGTTTTGACGGAACAATTGCTTGGTATCTCTCTTATCCACACTATCAAAATAGTCTTTCAATTGCCCAAAATCATCTATACCTATACTGCTGGATTTGGAAAAAGATGAGGTTAGCTCTGTTATATGTTTAAGGCTCCTAATTTTATGAGGATCCTCAGAAATTTTAGTCATGTGTGAACTTCGGCTCTTAATCCATCTCACATTGGCAAATTTAAGTGTCAGCTCTCCAAACTGGTTGCACCCTCTAATATCTACTGTAAATAAACCAGGATATGAAAGAAGAACTTTCTCAAGCATGTCAGCTGTAATGTTAACACAACCCCTTAGAATTATAGAATTGATCTTCTCTTTGTCGTAAGCATTCTGCAAACAAATAATCAGATTAGAGGAAGATGAAGAATGAAAAATATTCCTCCAAACGTGAATTGCCAAATATATATCAAACCTACCAAAATGTTCCACAACATGGTATCAGTGCAGGAATGACCCAAAGATGACAAATTGACTTGTATTGACACTCCTTTATAAAACCTTACAGCAGCTCTCCAGCGTTTGCAAGTCATTGAAGCAAAAACAAGGGACTTCAAATCCGATTTCAAAAAATGGAAAACCCGTGCCAACACACGACCATCCATGTTGTCCCAGCTTCCCATTTCTGAATCAGTAACACCAATTTCTTCTTCAGGTAAAGTAGCATCACCACATAGATCCTCAAAAGTGGATTCATCCTTCTCGATAGTAACATTGCCATCTTCAAAATCACTGTCGTCTTCACTATCATCAACCAGCATTCGTGCTCTCTTGGCAGCATGTGCATCACCATCTAAAATTACATGTCCCAACACAAATACACATGACAACAAAATTAATTAATAAAATTAATCATGAGACCATTTGAATCAAATTTAACGTGATAGACCAGTCTAACACAACTACCACACAGGAAAGAGCAAATGCCAAGACCACTAGCATTTGTCAAAAGATAAAAAATCAGTTGCCCAACCAATAATTTTTAAAAAAAAAGAAAAAATGAGGTTCGAACCAAAATACAAGTAAAAACTTTACAACCAGAGTAAAGGAAGGTAGGTGGAGAAATTTAAAAAAATCATAATCGCACCTGATTTCCAATATAGTTGTTTTTCGATTTCTTTCTTTGGTTGTCTTGCATTGATCCAGGGATCTAAAACTTCATTTATAGCTGCAGCAAACTCTCGACTTTTATATGATTTCATTACCAGTTCATGTAGCTTCCCACGAGTATAACCAACAAACTGAGGATGTAAGCTGTGAAACAAACTTGAATTTGTGCAAGGTTCGTCACATGCTAGAGTTTGCTTTGGTGGAATACCAGAGGATGCACCAGATATTGAACTGCTTTCTTGATGATTCGTGAGACTGCCATCAGACGTCTCTGTAGCAGAGGTAATAGGAACCCAGAGTTTATCACTTTTCCTGAACACACTGCTATGCCTTTTTATCATTCCTTGATCTACTAAATACTGTAGCTCCAAAAATGATGAGGGCCCCCTTTCACGCCCAGAACCATCAAGATAATACCAGTCACCCAAATGTAATTGCAACTCACGGATAGTACAGAGATGGTCTTTAGGAGTGTTGAGGAATTCCATGATCCGGTAAGAACCTTGATCACTAAAAGCTTTTAACTGAGAATCAAGTTCAGTTGATGATCTCTTGCTATCACTGGTTGCAGAGAAGGGCCGTGCTGACCTAGAATGATGTCTTTCCTTGCCCCGCATCTTCTGGCGTGACTCAGAGGAGACCAATGATCCTTGGTCCTTAACTACACATGCATTTATCCTGACTACTGAAAGAACATTACCTTTCACTCCTCTCACAGAAATAGGCTTACTTTGAACTGATCTGCTCGCAACACTGCATTCATCCCGCTCTTCAGCACAAAATGCCCACAGAGGAAGATCAAGCCTTCTGCTTTGAGAAGGAAAATACAAGTCATCTTTTTGAGGCCAACGAGGATCTTCACATCCAGACTTTGGCATTTGACATAACGAAAAACCATTATTTAGGACAAGTTTCTTTCTAGAATATCTATCCAGAGTATCATCATTCCTCTTCCAGTCACCACCTTTACATGACCAACGGGTGGAAAACCAGTCACTAGAAATACCAAAGGCAAATCCATTATCCTTATCACATGACATATTTGGCTGAGACTCAGAATCTCTTGATGTTAAATCAGTACTAGAATCACAATCTTCCCCAAGGCACGAAACACTCCAAAGAAAACCTGAAAAAAAGACACAGATACTTTGTCATGACCCATCTAACTCATAAGTAAATATCCATTTATTTATCTAGATGAAAAATAAACATATTCCACAAACTCATTTTGGGTGCATAGGCATAATAAAATGTACAAAATTGCTGGAAATTTAAGTTCCACATATGATGTAAAATTACAATCTGACATGGTTTACATTATATGTTTTCAATAAAAAATCAGAAACTATGACTTTATTCAATTAATCTGCTTCAATGTATAAATCAATTCAAAATTTTGTATTATGAACCAAACAAATCAATTGTTGAAATGCAATGGCAGACCCAACCATCATAAACAGCTAAATGGAATTAACACAAACATTTTTTCAATGAGAAGTAACAAAAGAGCAACAGAGCCACGCCTAAAATGAAATGCAAATTACCTCATTTTATAAATAATCACCATAGTTTTTTGTAGACCCCTAAAAAACTCCTTCAGATTTTAGACACATTCAAATTCAAATGCGTTTGCTTGAAACAAAACCGAATTTTTAAATTACGACAGCAGAGCGGTGCAGAAAGGACCCCTGCTTACAACAGTGGTTGCCATTGTGGAGGGAGTGGTTTAGAGTAGCAACCATAGCAAACCATATAGCAAACTGAACAGTGGCTGTGGCGGCACTTAGCTGATTCCAGAAAGGCTCTATAAACAGAGAAATTAAGGCTATTCTTGGGATTTCAAAAGAAATATACAGCTGTAATAGAAGTGGAAATTAGGGTTTTAAGTGACCTGGGTTCAGTCGAATTTAGTCTAATTTTCAACACAGTTCAGTTAACTTTAATTGGGTTGGATGGGATCATCGGGTTATTAAAAACCTATCACCTCTTAACAAAGAAATATATTAAAATATATATTTTCAATGCTTCTTAATAAGGTAACAACAATACTTATAACACAAAATTGTTTTTTATAGTAAAATTATAAGGCAAATATTATTTTTGTCATGTATTTATTATGTAGTTGGGTTGCTTATATTCATTGGGTTTGCACTAATGAACCCATTACCGTACCCAATTTAAATTGGGTGCCCTGAAATAATCCAACCCAACCCACAAAATGTAATTGGGTTGGGCCGGTTTATGTGTTGGATGCAACCGGCTTACACTACTAGTGAAAATGATAAAAAAAATATTTAAATTGAGAAGATGATGACTAATGATTTCTATACAGGTACCCGTATTTGACTTTTGTTGGCATTTACTTGAATGTTTTGTTAAGACACCAACAAATTTTAATTTTCAATTATGAATGTCATTATTTGGAGTAAGTTTTATCATTTTTGTGAATATATATATATATATATATATATATATATATATATGTATATAACATACATTGCCTTAAATAAAAATTCAAAATAACTGTTATCCAGCTTTCTTGGAACAGACCACTATCTCCGCCATGGAATGTAAACACTGAACAATATTATTTCCAAATTATAATGCTCACCTGCCAATTCTAAGCCTATAGAAGTTTCACATATTTATCAGCTCTCAGTCATGTATTAACAATGTCAAGAAATGGGTCCACTTGACAATGCCCATAAGGTGAAACATCATAACATAAACAAGAAGTTGCCTTCCGGAAAAAAAGGACAAAAAACCAGTAATGGAGAACTCCAACAACAACAACCTCAATATTATTAAATACCAGAAAACCAAAACAATATGAAATTTTCCCAAAACGGACCACCAATTTGAATATAGCTCAATATATAATGCTTGCAAAAAAAGTCAAACTAGTCAGAATATGGCCTCTTTACAAGAAATATCAAACACAAAAAACAAGAAAAAAAATCATGAATTATTAGAACATGTTAAGTTAAAAAAGATGAAAACAGACAAGAACCACAAAGCAATTACGTACCTTCATAGTCTCCCAATCCCTCCCCTTTCGCATTTTCAAAATTCATTAGTAACACTTCTGCAAGCATAAAAAGATGATGAAATATCTTAGTAAACAGAATGGGGGGTGAGAGATGAGATTGACAACAAATTTTGAGATTTATTTTCTGACTTCTTTATTAAATAAACTCTCAAGAATTTCATTGACAGAATAAAATACCTTTTATTGCCTCAAGTTCCATCCCAGGAGTGACATCATAACCCTCTAACAGATTTCTAACTCTTTCATCAATGTGGAAGTCCTCCAAAAGTTCAGATGTATGTAAACTGTCACTAGGGCATACTGGTGGCGGCGAGTGGGTTAGAATTTCCTGGTGATTCTCAGGAGCAGATTGAAGAATATCCGCCGTATCTGACAAGATATTACCAGGAGCCTCTGGAGGATTTACCAGTTGAGTTATGCTATCAGAAACAATTGAAGGAAAGCTCTGAGGTGCCAAAGGGGACACGGCATTCTCAACTGTTAACCACCTGTCACTATCTAGGTGCTTGATAAAGTGATCCGACATTAGTACACCTTCATCCACAAGGACCTTGATGTCGCACAATTTAGCAGGCCCATTTTCTACACCATCGTAGTCCAGGTAATACCACTTCCCTGACGACAAATCTGTCACCACAGGGACATGCGGAGGGGTATCACAAATGTCCATATCTTCTTCCATAGAAGGCATCTCCTCAGGAAGTGGCTCGGAGTGAGGAGATTCTTTGTGGCTAACAACTGGGCTGCAACTCTGCTGTTCCTTTGCAGGTTGACTGCAGGTGTCTTTCTCAATAGACTTAATGGTATCTTGCACATTTTTTTCACTTTGAGATTCTGTACAAGAACAATTTGAATCCTTTTGAATCTGCTTATCCTCGTGGTCCTTACAATTATTTTGCGAATCATGTTTTTCAGTTGATAAGGTTTTACAACTTGATTCCCGTCGACTGTCTTTCCTTGCCCGATCAAGGGGAGATACTTCTAACAAATTTGGGGTACTATCCCTTTGATCATGTCGCCGACTTCGATCTTGAGGTGACTGCTCAGCTCTCATTGGACTTCTCAATTTGTGATCATGCTGACGACTTCTGTCCCAGTTCCTCGAATATGGGGACCTTTCCCGAACATGAGGGGATTTCTCCCGGTTATACGGATATGGGGACCTCTCCCGACCGTGGGGGGACTTGTCCCGATTATAAGGAGATCGGTCGCGGCCACAAGGGGAGCGACGTACTGGAGTTCGATCTCTATGATCATAATACCTTCCTCGGTCTCGTGGGGACCGCTCAGAATGACCAGGGCTGCGCCCATGCCTGTCATAAACCTGTCTGATAGACAAAGAAGATTCATGATTCCTACAAGAATACTTATCTGCTGATAACTTTGTGGCATTATTAGTTCGGTAAGAACGTTCCACAGAGCGACGAGAATAGTTTTCTGAATAAACTTGGCGACAGCTATCATCAGAAAGTCTTCGGCTTTTCGAAGCGGCATAATCTGCAGAGTGCTTCCGCTCATAGCTGTCAGTATCATTGCCAAGCCTCTTCAAGCGACTACCAGAAGTGTAATCTCGTGCAAGGTCCTTACCATTGCTGTGAACATTCTTCTCATCATCCACAATCTTTGAACTGATCCTTACATTCCGCTGTTGTCCACCCTCCCACCTGGGAGAGCTTTTACCATGCTGACTCGCACGAATATTCAATTCCTTCTTCCTAAAAAAGTCATCCCCTGTATATCTTCCAGAAGAAGGTGTACTTTCACGTTCACGTTCACGTTCAATTTTCCACCCTTTGTCCCTACTTGAATGGTACCTGCGAGTTCTACTGTTATCATAATCTCCCTTGTACCATCTATCCGGAATGAATTCTCCCTTCTCAATTTCATCATTTACTCCCCTCCACGACCCATATTCACCTCTCTCAGTTTCCCCTTTCCTACCACCCTTCTCAGGAACTATCTCCCCTCTTTCCACATCCTCTTTCCTCCATTTCCCAGAAGCAATCTCCCCCTTCTCCAGCTCCCTTCCTTTCCACTTCTCACTCACAATCTCCCCGCTCTCAATCTCTCCCCTCCTCAGTGGTGGTGGTGGCGGCATCTCTGGCACGAACTCCCCGTTCTCCAGGTCAGCCCTTGCCCACTTCAAAGTTACCAATTCACCCTCCTCCACTTCCTCTTTCTGCACCTTGTCTTGCTGCTTGTCCACTTCGCCACCATTCTCAATATCATTGTTGCTCCTCTTGCTCACTCTATCCAGCCCCAATTCACTCTTTCTCGCCTTCATCTTCCTCTTCTCATTGCCAGCAAACTTGAGCAACTTGGAATTGAAGCCATTCCCACTCTTGCCTCCGCACACAACAGTCTTCTCGGAACTCGGCAACCTCTCCATAATATACTGCAAAGGCATGCACGGGACGCCTCCATCGCCCATGGAAATCTCACCCTTCACGTAAGAACCTCGAAACCCTAGCAGTCCCCTCGCCCGGGGCTGTCGATGCTCATGCTGCAAATGCTTCCCTCAATTCAATCCTCGCTCCAATTGAAAACCCTAAATTCCATACACAATCACAAAAAAGGTCAAAGCCGAAGCAAATGCGTGTAATTCGCGCACCAGGCGCGGGCGAACGAAGAAGAAACCTCCCGTGGAAAAAATACGCTTTAAGATTCGAACCATATGAAGCCACTCCACGAAAATATAAAAAAGAAAATTAAAAAAAAAAAAGAAACGGAAGAGGGAGATGAGAAGAGGAGAAAATTACCGAGAAAAGAAAGAGAGAAAAAATATGATAGATCGGAGAGTCGAAACGTAGCTGTAGTTTGAATTTGGAGCGTGACAAGAAGGAAGATCGAAAAGTATGGTTTGTGGCAAGAGAAATATAGGGTAATTAGTAACAGTGTCTTCGTTCTTGGCGCTTCCTCTCTCTGCTATTATATGTTCTCTTCTTTGCCTTGTGTTGGGTTGTTCTTCTTTGATGTTGGTCTGGGTTAAAGACGAACGAAACCTTAGTCTATATTTCTTTTTTTTTCTGTGTATATATTTATATTTATATTTATTGTTGTTGATTGAGGTAAAGTACGGAAATGCCCCTCCTCTTGAAAAACTGACTATATATTTTGGTGGAGAAAAAGGTCAGGACCAGGAATAGGCCCGACTGAGTTTTTTTTTTTTTTTTCTTTTAAGATCCAAATCTTATAAAAGAGGAAACAGTTGTTGACTCAACACAATTTTGACTCGTATCCACTTACAGAGAATGTAATGTAACCAACTTGGGTTGTTTGATTGGCCCATTCCATGATCCATGCTTCTACTGTTAAAGACACGACGAAATGTTACTCCATCGATCCAAGCATTAAATAAATTTAATTTTAATTTGAACTAACAAAATATATATTTTTTTGCATTTTAATATTTTAACAAGAGATTGTGTTTGAGAAAGTTGTAACATTGTCCTATTTGTGTTTTCATTTAAAGGTAAAATTAAAAATTGAATTCTTATCTTAATTTTTGTGTGGCTATTTTCATTTACCATTTTATTGTTTTCTTTTTCCTCACAAACTAACCCTCATTTCCTCTGCCTTCTCTTATTTTCCCACCTACTCAAGATTCTTCACTCTCCTCAACCCATGTTACTCTTATGCTCAGGATTATAGCCACCAAACGAGATTTGCATCTCTCCCAAATTGCATGAATTGTCTCTTATCTTGCAAGATGATGACAATGGTAAATAGCGGCAGAGGAGACCCATATCTTTCAAAGTCATTGCAATGGTAAGAGATCACAGAACATAAATGTAACCTTTCGCCAGAGTTCTTCCGCATCTTTCATATTTTACTATCCTTAAATTTTGTATTCTTATATTTTTTAAATTTGTTTTTGGATGGATTGTTTAATTTTTTTTTGTTATTATTTTTTATTATATCTTTTTTTTTTTTATCTTGTGTTATTTTTAGTTTACTCTTCTTTTCAATTCATATTTTATGTGTGTAATATGTTGGGAAAAATATGCGGAATCTTCCCATATGGTCGGATCTCGTGAAAGTGAAATAAAAGCTGGAATAATTGCACACACAAGTTGATAACGGAGTTCGGCCAATAATGCCTACGTCTCCGGACTACTACGGATCTCTTACTAGGAGAAAAGAAAAATACACAAGTGTTTACAAAACACTCCCAAAACACTCACAACTCACAACCCAATTACACCCGTAAGCTAAACTAAAACTCTCTAGTTTTTCTCGCCTCTCACTGGTGCCACTCTTTCTTCTCTAAGAGAAGTAGTATTTTGTGTGGGATGGGATGCATTTGCTTGCAGGGAGAAGACCAATTTATAGCAAAAATTGGTACTGTGCATTACCATAAAAAAATGCCTCGTGGGCACCTCATGCTCGCTTTAAAAATTTGGCGACCGGAATTGAAGAATTTGGCGACCACTTTCTTTGACTAACAATCTCCCACTTGAGGACCGATTTCAATCTGTCCTCACACCTTGATCAATAGTAGTCTTCTCTTGTCTCGTTATCCTTGTAAGCTAACCGAAGTTGAGCACAACTTCAGCTTGTCAATAGTCACCACCTTTGTTAGCATATCTCGCTGGGTTCTTACTTCCCACAATTTTCTTCAATGTTAGCATCTCATCCTCAAGTAGAGATCCGATGAAATGATAACGTATGTCGATGTGTTTGGTTCTGGAGTGAAATGCTGAATTTTTTGCCGATGTATTGCACTCGACTATCACCGTGCAAAACACTCCTTTCTTGAATGAATCCCAACTCGCCAACAATCCTTGAAGCCATATCAATTCTTTATCGGCTTCGTCATCGCTACATACTCAGCCTCGTAGTGGATAAAGCAACAATCTTCCGTATCCGCGACATCCAACTAACAACCGTAGTTCCAACAAGAAACACATACCCAGTGGTGCTTCTTCTAAGTGATCAACTTCACCTCCAAAGTCTCGCATCTACGTAGCCCCGCAATTTTAGATCTCCCTTTCTAAAATACGTACATTTTTCTCGTCAGTGCCTCGTAGATACCTTAGAATCCATTTGACCGCTTCCCAATGAGCTTTTCCTGGATTTGACATGAATCTCGCTTACAACTCCCACCGCATGGCCAATGTCCGGCCTCGTATGCACCATCGCGTACATCAAACTTCCAATGGCCGAAGCATACGGAATCTTAGCCATTAACTCTTCTTCTTCCTTTGTTTGAGGAGACCGATCCTTGGATAGACGAAAATGGCAAGCCAAAGGTGTATTGACCGGTTTGGCATTGTCCATGTTGAATCTCTCGCAAAACACGGTTGATGTACTCCGCTTGAGATAACCGCAAAACTCCTTTTTGCTTATCTCTCGTGATTTGCATTCCAAGAATCTTCTTTGCTCGGGCCTAAGTCCTTCATGTCAAATTCTTTTGACAACCGCTTCTTTAAGTTTATGATCTCATTCATATCTCGAACTCGCTACTAGCATATCATCAACATAAAGTAGCAAAATGATATAACTCGGACTTATACCTCTTGAAGAAACAATGATGATCGCGTTGCACTTCGAAAACTCTCCTTGTGCATGAAGCTTTCGAACTTCTTATACCACTCGTCTTGGAGCTTGTTTCGTGCCATACAAGCTCTTTTTCAATCTCGCACACCAAGTTCTTCTTTCCTTCCGAAAAACCTTCAGCCGGTGCATGTAGATCTCCTCATCTAAATCTCCATGAAGAAATGCGGTCTTCACATCTAATTGCTCTAGGTAGAGCTCCTCACTAGTCACAATACTTAACACAGCTCCCGATAGTATTGAGCTTTACAACCGGAGCAAAGATTTCAGTAGTAGTCGACTCCTTCTTTCTCACTGAAATCCTTTGACGACCGACCGAGCTTTGTATCTCTTAGAACCATCATGGTCTTCCTTCACTCGATACACCCATTTGTCGTGAAGTGCTTTCTTTCCCATAGGTAACTTGACTAGTTCCCATGTCTCGATTTGAGATTAAAGACTTCATCTCGTCTTTCATGGCAAGCTCCCACTTGCTAGCATCCGTGGCTTCGACAAGCTTCCGTATAATCTTCGAGCTCCCTCCATCGGTCAACAACATATAGTCCATGTATCTCCCGTTAGGCACATGAGGCCGAGAAGACCTTCTCAATACAGGAGTTGGAGTAGGAGGTTCTCGCTTGCACATCAAGTTCTTCAACCGATTCCTCCGGTCGAGGACTCCTCATTATAGGACTTTCTCGGGATATCTTCCACCTCTCGCATAAACCGGCCCACTCGCTTCGAGTTGCCGGCACTCGTATTATGCTTGTCCTTGTACATCACTCTTTCATTGAAGATTACGTCTCTCGCCGCGGATCATCTTTTTGTTTTCATCGTCCCATATGCGGTAGCCAAACTCATCTTCACCATAACCAAGGAAAGTACATTTCTTTGATTTTGGATCAAGTTTGTTTCGCCTTGATCACCGATATGTGCATATGCTACACGACCAAAAACTCTAAGATGTGAGAGTTTTACCTCTTTTCCGCTCCATACCTCTTTCCGGTATCTTGTGCTCCAATGGTACCGATGGACTTCGGTTGATCAAGTAAGCCGCTCGTGTTGATCGCTTCGCCCAAAACCGCTTTGGTAAGCCTCGATCGCACACGCATGCTTCGGCCCTTTCGATCAACGTTCGATTCATACGCTCAGCCTACACCATTGTGTTGAGGCGTACCCGCACGGCTCTCTCCATTCCGATTCCGTGCTCATAGCAAAACTTCTTGAATTTGGTGTCTACATATTCACCACCATTGTCTGATCTCGAGCTTCTTAATCTTCAATCTCGTCTCATTTTCCACCATAGCTTTCCAAATCTTGAAAGCTTCAAATACTTCGACTTATATTTCGTAAAGTAAACCCATACCTTTCTCGGAGTGATCATCAATGAAAGTCACGAAGTAATGCTTCCCACCAACGGATGGGACAGTCGTTGGACCCCAAACATCGAGTGGATGAGCTCAAGCTTCTCTTTCTTTGGGGTTCTTTTACTTGTTTGAAAGCCGACTCTCTTCTCGCTTTCCAAGTATGCGCTCTTCACACATGTCAATATCTACCGATCGAAGACTCGGTAATTTTCCTCTCGAGTGCATGACCTTCATTCCTTTCTCACTCATATGTCCAAGTCTTTGGTGCCATATGTTGGAATTTTCATTTGCCGCAACCGCAATCAAATGACATGCTCCTCGTAGCCTTGTGAGAGTTCCACTCTTTTTGCCTCGAGCAATCGTCATCGCACCTTTTGAGATCTTCCATTCATCACCATGGAAGATTGTCGTATAGCCTTCACTAGCTAATCGACCTACCGAGATTAAGCTCTTTGTCGGTCGGGAATATGTCCGACATTTTTCAATTCCCATACGTGACCCATTCAGCCTTAATCCTTACCGCACCTTTGCCTACAATCTCACATGACTGTTCATTACCAAGGTAAACCTTACCAAGGTTTCCGGAACATAATTCTCCAACAGCTCCTTCCGTGAGGTAGCATGAAAAGATGCTCCGAGTCTAACACCCAAGACTCCTCCCCGCCTTCAAGAGAGCATATCAACGCCTCATCTTTTCCCGAGGTGGAGGCAACGTTTGCTTCGTCCTTTGCTCCTTGATTCTTCCGTGCACTCTTGCACCGGTTTCTCGAAGTGTCCGGTCTTCCCACAATTCCAACACTCGATCGTTTTTGAGTCGTGGGAACTACGATGATTTCTCGGACTTGGACCGCCCGTCCTTTGATTTTCCATGTCCAATTTCTTTGGTTGAACTTCTTCCTCTTGACTCGTATGCACATCGAAGAGGTTGATGCTTCACCCGACTCTCTCCGCCGGATCTCTTCGCCGAGAACCAAATTTTGAACATCATTAAATCTTAACTTATTGTTTCCCGATGAGCTACTCACAACTCGTGACCGTAGCATTCCAACTCTCCGGTAGGGAAGACAAAAGTATTAAAGCCCGTACTTCATCATCGAATTTGATGTCAATAGAACTCAACCGGGTTGTTACAGGTGTCGAGTTCATTGAGATGATTTGCCACCGAAGCACCTTCGGACATCCGCAGGTTGAACAATCGCCTCATCAAGTGAACTTTGTTTGAGGCCGATGGTTTCTCGTACATGTTGGAAAGAGCCTTCATGAGATCTCGAGGTCGTCTTTTCTTTCACAATGTTGAAAGCAACATTACGGGATAATGTTAGACGAATAACTCCAAGAGCCTCGTCTATCAAGGAGTCTCCATTCTTCCTCTTTCATGGTTTCCGGCTTCTCCCCGTGAGTGGTTGATGCATCTTCTTCTCGATACGTATAATCCTCTATCTCGCATTTTCCGTAAGCCAAAGTCTCGTACCGTCGAACCTTTCGATTTTCATTTTTCCTTCGTCTGCAGCCATCACTCCAACTCGATCCGACTTATCTCGCTGGATCGTTTCGACAATTTCGTGAGCTATCGTGTTTCGTAACACGACTGCGGGCAAATTTGTAACGCCGACAAAATTTGCACTATTCACGTTTTCACTATTCACTGAATAGTAACTTACTATTCATATGAATAGTAACACCACAAAAATTACGTAACTAACAACCAGACTCCGATACCAGTTGTTGGGAAAAATATGCGGAATCTTCCCATATGGTCGATCTCGTGAAAGTGAAATAAAAGCGGAATAATTGCACACACAAGTTGATAACGGAGTTCGACTAATAATGCCTACGTCTCCTGACTACTACAGATCTCT